CAATTTCATGAACAACAGCCTCTTCTTCTAACTCTTCGAAGCCTTCAAAGTCTCTTTGAAGCACACATTCAGGCCACAATGGCCTCCAAGCAGCACAAAGACACCTCACAGTAACCTCTTTCCAGGCTGAGGTAATTAAAAAAACAGCATCTGCTATATTGAAGTGACTCTTCCAGAATTCCTTCAAACTAACATCACTGGAAGAAGTGGATGCAAAACATTTTCTAAACAGTGCCTTTGTGTACAGCTTCTTAAAGTTAGAAATTACCTGTTGATCCATGGGCTGGATGAGAGGTGTTATGTTGGGTGGCAAGAAGTGCACAGTGATGAAGTTGAACTCCTCTGGCAATTCAACCATGAAATTAGGAGGGTGGGCTGGTGCATTGTCCATCACCAACAAAGCTTTCAGTGGAAGATTATTCTCCCTGAGGTATTCCCAAACACTGGGTCCAAACACCTCAATCACCCACTCAGAGAATAAATTCCTGGTCACCCAAGCCTTTGGGTTTGACCGCCACATAACACCAAGGCGGGTCTTCCTAATGTTTTTGAAAGCTCTGGGGTTTTCTGCATGGTACACAAGGAGTGGCTTTATTTTGCAGTCACCAGGAGCATTAGCACCAAGAAGGAGGGTAATCCTGTCTTTCATTGGCTTATGGCCAGGGACAGAAGTTTCCTCCTTGGTAATGTATGTACGGCGAGGCATTTTTTTCCAAAAAAGTCCAGTTTTATCACAGTTGAATACCTGCTGAGAAACAAAGCCTCCCTCTTTAATCACATTCAAAAAAATGTCATGGTGTTCCTTAGCTGCTTCCTTATCTGCACTAGCAGCATCACCATGTCTCACAACACTATGTAATTTATTTCTCCTTCTGAAACCAGTAAACCACCCCTTGGTACCCCTAAACACTGGCACTGGGAGTCTTGGCTTTAAGGTCCTCAAACAATTGTCTGGCCTTCTCACAAATTATAGCTTCACTAATGCTATCACCTGCCATTTCTTTCTCCTTTATCCACACTAAGAGTAAATTTTCCGTCACCTCAATCACATTGCACCTTACTTTGCTAAGTCTAGAGATTCCCTTAGCCACTTGCACAGTTTTCAACTCCTCTTTATTCTTTAAAATCGTACATATAGTCGATTTAGCCATCCCATACTCATCACTAAGTTTCGCAATGCTTGTTCCATCCTCATGTTTCTTTATGATTTCTTTCTTAGTTTCAAGAGTTATGAGCTTTCTCACTCGCTTTGGACGATTGATTGTTACAATTGTACACTTGTATAACAAAATATTTATACAAATAACTCGATTTCCACATCAAAAGACGAAATTTCAACAATAACAGTGGTGCACTGGCTACACAATGAGACAAAGATGGTGCCTGACGCTCTTGTTGTGGGTCGCGGTATAACAATATTCATGCGCCAGGCGAAATAGTCCCGTATTCATCCGCGTTCGTTGTAGGAGTTTCGTTCGTTATAGCATTGTCAATTTTATAGGTAAAACCGTTCGTTATAGGAATATTCGTAGTAGGATCTGTTCGTTATAGCATACCCCACTGTACTTCCAATATCTTCCTAGGCGGTAGCACCACCCTGCCGAGTACCTACTATACTTGGTACTGTATAACGAAGTACTTGGGTTCATACAAAGGAGTGTTAGTTACAAGACTAGCGAGGTCATCATAAAAACTATATCTTGCGCTTGTGAGACCTCACTTGGATTACACACTTCTGTTCTGGTCACCGTACTACAGAATGGATAAAAAATCCCAAGAAAGATTTCAAAGGATAATGACAAGACTAATCTCTGGCATTAGGAACCTCAAGTAGGTAGTAGGCAGCTACCAAACAGGGAGGTACTACCGCCTGGGAAGATATTGGAAGCATAATGTGTTGTCTAATGGTAGACCCTGGTGCCATATGGCATCACGAAAATTGTCTTATGGTAGACCCTGCTGCCATATGGCATCGCAAAAATTGTGACCAAGTCCCAGGTTGCTCGTTAACATAAGAACACAAGAAAATAAGGAGTCTGCAATAGGCCGGTTGGCCTGTGCATGGCAGCTCCTGTCTAGAGTTACAACCACTCTCTATCATCCATGAATCTGTCTAGCCTCCTTTTAAAACTTTCCAGCGTTCCAGCACTTACTACAAAGTTGCTAAGCTTGTTCCACTCATCTACCACCCTATTTGTGAACCAGTTCCTTCCTATCTCCCTTCTAAACCTAAACTTATCCAACTTAAATCCGTTGCTACGAGTCCTATCCTGCTCGAATATTATAAGAACTTTATCTATACATATCTCCTTTATTGATTCCTTTCACCCACTTAAATACGTCTATCATATCTCCCCGCACTCTTTGTCTTTCTAGGGAATGCAAGTATAGTTTCTTTAATCCATCTTGATATGGAAGGTTTCTAAGTCCCGGAATAATTTTCGTCATTCTTCGCTGCACTGACTCCAGTATCTAGATCGTTTATGTAGATTATGAACAAGAGTGGGCCCAGTACTGACCCCTGGGGAACCCCACTGGTTACACAGTCCGGCTCTGATTTAACACCATCTACGCTGACCCTCTGTGTTCTATCAGTGAGCCATGATTTTATCCAATTTAAAACTTTCCCCTCGATACCATGAGCCTTAACTCTTCTCAGATGCCTCTGATGCTGTACTCTGTCAAACGCTTTGCTAAAGTCTAAGAAAATAACTTCGTAATTTTCGTAATTATCTACCACCTCAAAGACTTTCCTAAAAATCGTCAGCAGATTGTTAGACAAGATTTTCCCTTTGTAAACCCATGTTGAGTCATAGATTAATTTGTTTTTCTCTAAATGCGATCGGATGCTATTTGCTATAATTGATTCAAGATATTTCCCCACTACTGTCGTCAAACTGATCGGCCGGTAATTTGACGCTGATGCTCTGTCTCCCATTTTGAATATGGGTACTACATTTACCTGTTTCCACAAGTCTGGCACAACTCCCGTGTCAAATGATTTTGTAAATAAATTTACGAGTGGTCTGCTAATCTGTTCCTTACACTCTTTCAAAACTCAAGGGAAAATTTTATCCGGCCCTGGGGATTTTGTCTTCTTTAATTTATTTATCTTCTTAAGAATATCCTCTTTTCTGATATTCTTGAATTTCTCTTCTTCATTTCCCCTAAATATCAGTTCCACCGGTGGCATTTCTTCTGTGAAAACTGATATGAAGTAGCTCTTTAATGCTTTGCTTATTTTCTCACTATCATCGATCACTTCCCCTCTCTCTGACTTTAAAGGTTCCACTTTGTCCTATGTACAGTACCTGGAAAAATCCCTTGGGATTCGCCTTGGTTTCTCTTGCTATCCTGATTTCGTAGTCTTTCTTTGCCTTCCTTACATTGTTCTTAACATTCCTAGATAGTTCATTATATCTATTTCTGAGATGCTCCTCCCTTCCCTTTAATTTCTTTTAAATTCCTTTCTTTATTCCTATGTCATGTTTAATTTTTTTGGTTTTCCACCTTGGCTCATTCTTATTTGACCTAATTTTTCTGTATTATAGATGCATATGTACAAGGAATAAAACAAAGTTTGTCATCATACTGCACTGCCCTGACAGAGACCACTGAATTTGGTTTTGCAAGTGGTATGTTTGGTGTACTGTATTGTACTGCCGTGCTACATGACCTCACTGGAGCATATTTTTAACTACGTATAGTTATTACTGTCAATAATTTCCATGGCAATAAACATGTACAGTATAATATTTTTCACACAAAAAGATCATCCCCAACAATACCAAGTAGTGCTTTCCACTATGCAGTACATGTACTGTACAGTACAGTGGTCCCTCGGTTAACAAACACAATTCGTTCCAGAAGATCATTCATTAACCGAAACCATTGTTTCAATGGGATTTTGGGTAATTGGTTCCAGTTCACCGAAAATTACTTACAAAGTAAAAAAAAAAATGCAGTAAAGTATTCTTACTTTAAGGTGTGTATGTAGAAGGCTCCTGGTTGATGATGATGATGATGATGATGGGAATTAGAAGTGGGGGTGGAGGAGAAGGGAGAAGAGAAGGAAGTGGGGGTGGAGGAGAAATCACCCCATGCTTGATGCCGTCATTTCACCCATAAAATTTTAAGTTCACTAGGTGCAATTCAAGATAATTTTTTTTTAAATCAACACTCCACTATATATTGTCAATATGTTATATAAATTTCAGAATAACTTATAATTGTACTGTAAAAGCTTAAAAATACTCTTGTGTTCAAGAGACCCACAAGCAAGATGTTTCCTCCACTGAACAGAGATACAAACTGAGGCCTTGGTGGGTAAGTGAAGTGGCTGATGGGCACACCAAAAACTAGCTCCCTGTACTGCAATTATGTTAAATAAGTGTTAAAATTACTAAAAAATTTAATATAAAACTTGGAAAAAAATTTTAATAGTACAACCTTCTTGATATTTACTCCAATTTTAACGAATATAAGCCCTAGAACCGATTTCTGTATTGGCGGACTAATCTTCCAGCTAGTGAGCAAGCCAAAGCATGTCAAAAAATTATCGTAAGAATTTCGTTAACCGAATTTTTGTTCGTTAACTGAAATGAAGATTCTTATGGAAGGTAATTCGTTAACCGAGGCGTTCGTTAACCTAGGGACCACTGTATTTGTTTTGCTCCTTTTTTTAATTTATGGATAATAATATTTATGAATATTATGTAGTTATTATATTAATACTAGACAAATTATGCTGTAAGCCAAGTGTCATACTACTGTACTGTATACTGTAGTTATAAAAAAATTACAACCCACATTTATTTAGCTTTTTTGTTTAGTTTGTTGTCTCTAGAGGTCAGAAATATGTGGTAACAGTTTGGATCATACAGCTTTCAGTATGCTCTCATCAGTTTTAGGTACAGTAATCTACTAACTTTTGCAGAAAGGTATTTGTTCATTGATATGTAATGGCCAATTGTTAACTTAATAATTTCTTTGCATTACAGTGAGTGAAGTAAAAGAGTTGAACTCCAACGGTGAGGAACAGGTCCTGCACAATATATATCTTCGCGAGAAATTTAAAGTAAGTGATTTGTCAAGTCCCTATTGTTATACTTGAGTGATCCTAAGTCTATACTCAGTGCTTGTTTATTGTTACTGTACTGTGCTGTAATGAGTTATTTTCTTCAAAAAATAGTTTGATTCTTGGAACTAATTTAAGTACAGTTACATAAATGACAACTTCATAGATTTGCAGTTAATACTGTAGATAGAAAATTGCTCTCAATCAATTTCTATATAGTATTTACATTTTTTTTCTGGAAACACTCTAGCATTACTTAAGTGAGAAATACAGTAGATACATTAAATGTCTTGGTAATGAATCTTTTTTTTATTAATCAGGAGAGCCCCTGTATGAATTTTTGAGGGCGTTGTATTTTAATTAGTCACCTTATTCCTGTACACAATTCTCTCTCTCTCTCTCTCATATATATATTCATATATATATATATATATATATATATATATATATATATATATATATATATATATATATATATATATATATATATATATATATATATATATATATATATATATATATATATATATATAGACTCCTGTAATATGTAAAGTTAATACTGTATCTCAAATGCGGTACTTTGTTATATTATAAATGATGGTCGTAAGATTATCATTTAAATGTAACACTGATGATAAGTAGAAACAAGAGGAAAACTGATTAAACACCTCACTCCTCCTGTCTTAAACCATCACCAACCCTCTCTCCTATTACTTGAAATTAAGTGCACTTGTAATGCAGGGATAAATTTATCCCACTAGCTGCTACTATTTGTAAGGTGTGGGGGGAGGGGATATATATACTATATACAGTCTCCTCGACTTACGACGGCCATGGTCGTATAAAATATTTTTCACGTTGTGTATTTTCGAGTCCCGGCGTTAGTGATCGCGCTGTGTACTGAAAAAAATTTTGTTTGTAATTCCCTTTAAAATGGCTGACAAGTGTAAAAGTGAGAGTTCTCGTGCTGCTGAGAAGAAAAACAGACACCCATTTTAGAATTTTTATGTATTATTTTTTACTTACGACCAATTCGACTTACGACCTGGTCGTCGGGACGGAACCCCGTCATAAGTAGAGGAGAGACTATTCCAATAATACGTATTTAAGTAATTATTAGATGTTTTAATTATCTGTATGTTGGCCTGGCAAGTTAATGCTAGGCATTTACATACTTACAGTAGGTATAAAGCTAGGTGTCGCATTCTGGATTGAACAAAAATACTATATATATTCCATCAAATGATAAATCTTTGTATTAGTTCTTGAATTTAATTCCATCGGTTGAGAATATTTGTAAGAGGTTACTCTTATAGTTCTTTTCTTTAGCTATTGTGGTTCTTTCAGTTTTTCCAGGTTATTTTCTGTCTTTCTTTCAATGTTCTTATTTATTTATTTATGTATTTTATTTATCTATTTATTTATATATTCTTTATCTTTCTTTTCTTATTGTATTATATATTTCTTTCAATGTAATTATTTCTTTGTGTATTTCCTCTTACTTTTATTCTCAGCTGTGCTCAGTTAAACTGTACAGTGTTCTGTTCAATAGATTAGCCTGGGAAAACCATATCATTCTAGCATTACACCTTAATATAACTATTATACTTACAGTAGACTACCACCACCCAGGCTTTTATTTAGAATATAACTGCTATCATTAAAAGGGTTAGTGTAGTAGACACGAGAGGTTAGGCACGTAAGTTAGAGTGTTTATTTTATGATAAGCCAAGTTTTAGAAGAAAGAAGTGGTGATATTGACATTATACTTAATCAATATTTATTAAAATCAAATGTGAATACAGTAGTATGAGAATTTGAACCTTCATTCACGACAACAAAAACTAGGTTCTGTCACTGATTACTGTAACACTCGGGCAAGAATGGGTCACTAGGTCTTACTGTATAAGTTACAAAATAGATTATCAAGTATTTGTTACAACTTCAACAACTGTAACACTTAGACAAAAAACGGACCACTTGGTCATACTTTATAAATAGCAAAAATAGATCTTCACTTAAAATTCAATAGTTATACCTCCTTACGGGTGTTATTATACTGACAATAAAGATGGTCTCTTTACACTTACTAATAGCACAGTGATATTATTACATTACTTGTAACATCATGTTATTGCTGGATGAACAACAAGGAAACGTACACCATGCCATCTTGAATTACACCTCGTGAACTTAAAATTTTATTGTTGAAATTACTGCATCAAGCTTGGGTCCCCTGAAAGGTGATTTCTCCTCCATCCCCACTTCCTTCTCTTCTCCCTTCTCCTCCACCCCTACTTCTAATTCCCATCATCATCATCAACTAGGAACCTTCTACATACACACCTCAAAGTAAGTGTACTTTACTGCATTTTTTTATTTTATTTTTTTAACTGAAGAAATTAATCTGACCCAAATGTACAGCAACTGATTGAAATGAATGTGTAAGTAAATGCGTCAAGTGGGACCTTAGACGTGCCTGAGTTGCCATACGCCTCGTATATAATTGCATGTATGGGAGACGATCGTCACTTTTTCTGATGCTCCTCCATTGTATTTCAGGTATGTAACTAGTGCCTCAGGACTGCCATATTAAGTAACTTTAACTCAGTTGAACTTTGTTGAATATATCAGTGTTCATGTTTTAACATAGTCGAAAGTCTTATGTCTCGAGTGATAAAATAACGTAACTAGACATTGTCTGTGTTGATCCACCATGCGCTTCCCTTGCCAGACAAGTGTGATATTTTGTGTTTGATTTTAGACTATTTTTGGACGTTCCTTCATCGTATCTCGGGCATGGTGTGTGTGTTGTTGCTGATACTCGCAACTACTGAGAATCAGTAGTTGCCTGCAGGCAAAATGTCTTTAATCTTGTGAGATTAAAAATAGAAGGAGTGACGCACCCTGGGAGCTCATAATTGCCCTCACCACTCTTATCACATTAATTTGTGTCCACTTCCAGCAGGCACAACTTGCATGTCGTTTCAGCATAACTGCTACCATCAACACTGCTAGTCTCACTCCTTCTACTTATATAGTTAACTCTGTGTTCATATCAACTATTTTCCGTATTACCGTTATCATAACACTTACATATGTTATCCTAAATGGGCGAGTTGTCTGTCGGAATTAACTTTTTCGTAAGATGGCAGGTCAAATGGTAAAGAAAACGCTTAAATTCACGACGGTAATGATATTTTTAAATAAATTGAGCCAAAAGGTGTAAAAAATGAGGGTTAAAGTTGCTAAAAAGTCATGTGACTGCAAAAAGCTCTGTGATTGGTTGTGACATCACAGGTTGTTTCGAGTAAGAGCCTGGAGGCAGCCAGTTGTGGTGTATGTGTTGTTACCAGCAGAAATACATGACTTGTGGCCATATACAATGTTGATATACACAGGCATACCTTATTTTTAGGTTAAGATAAATTACTGCTCTAGTATCATCGTGTGTATTTACTTGCTGGCTGCCAAAATGATGCAAAAGACCGATAACTCCAACATGGCCAGGGGGATGGGCTTGAGATGATCAGGTGACAGATGTAATTTAACGTGCTTCATAGCTGGATGGCAGAGCTCTTGATAATACTCTACAATCATAAAGACATCTACTTTTGGTAAATTTTTTTCATCTGCCTTGATGAACCCTGGTAGTAGTTATCCAACCTTCTCGGTTGATCGGCTCTGTAAATAAATATTATTAGATAATTAATTTTGCTTTATTGTGCAACACAGTAATACTATATTGAATATATAAATACTGCTAAGTACATTAACTAATTCAATGGATATTAGCTGCCCCTACTACAAATTTCATAAACATTCCAAACAATAATGGTATTATTTTGGTTTTGGTCATCTGGGGAACCTTAAGATTCTAACTATGGGATTAAGTACTCTAAACAATAAGACACATTATCTCTACGGGATTTCTGTTGCAAAGCATTTTTCGATCGCATAAGAAAATACAGGTCATGTGTTAGGTTAGGTTAGGGGATGATAAGTTATAAGGTTAGTTTAACATTCATTGGTATGGGGGGGGTAACTCAAAACTAGTGATTTCCGATAGAAATGAAGGTTAAAATCGTTCATAACACGTCGCAAACCATCAGAATAAAAAACCATAGTCTGCATGTCTAAGTACAGGGATGAACCAAAACTTAAAATTTACCCAATACAGTATAGCCTATCTTGAATCTAAGCAGCCAAATACTTATGGTAGTTAAAGTAAAATTTTGCCCATTAATTAATACTGTATAAATGATGATATATCCCAATGCAGTCTCAAAACAGTCTCAAGTCCAAACAATGTCATTACTTCTAAATTGACTCGTATCTCCATCTAGTACTGATATACTCTGTAAATGCACTGGAAAAAAAAGAGGAGAAAGTCTAGCAGGTAAGAATACATGACAGCTGAGCTGGTGTGAACATGTTGAGTATTTTATGTCCTTAAGCTGCTCTTCACGGCACATTTCTTCACTTACGAAATGTCCATGATTTAGACCATAAAAACACCCTTAAAACTTACCTGAACGTCGCATTTGGGGTCTGAAGAGGCCACCCTTTGTACTACCTCCAACTGCAGCGTTGAGTTTGTTGGAGAACATCGTCTGTGGGAAAACTGGTGATTTCATTGCAAATGGCGACCCTGTTTCTAGAGAAATAAACTTACCTCGACTATTATAGCAGGACTTTAAACTTTTATTACAAATTATATATATACCGTATCACTACAAATGTGACAGAGTGTATTTCTTGTGTTTACCCGGTACTCAGAACCGTCAACTCGTCCATTCCACCATTACCGCTTGCACAGTGCGTGCGGTAACACAACTTGAGTTTGGGTTGTCTGTCAGTAACTTTGTTGTTATTAAATTTTTACTTAAGTAATTTTTTTATAGAGTGAAATAAATTATTTTAAAAAATCAAAATTTTTTTGTGTGAGGGTAAGTAAGGATGTTACAGGAGGAAATCGATGGCAGATTAATGGTGTGTGTGTGTATGCATATTATTTTATTTTAATTGTATACTGCTACAGATATTGTTATACTGTATGTTTATATTACAATACTGTACTGTATTACCAATTTTTTTCCCTATATTTCAGGACTTCCAAAAATCTTTGGAAAATGAGTTCAGCAACATGATTGATAAACGTCTGGGAGACTTTGAGGAGGAGAACCTTCCTGTAGCAGAGTGTTTGGTCAGAAGCACTTCAGCTTCCTTCACTTCTGCACTCACAAGATCACATAGTAGATGTAAAGAGTATGTTTCAAATATTTGGCAAACGAAGAACTCATTTTTATTTACCTGTATTTTTTTCAAGTAGTGTACTGTACTGTAGTGTACAACTCAGTACAGTACAGGGTATACATCTTTCATACCTGTTCAGCATCTTTTCTGGATACAGTAATGCAGTGTTTATAACTTGAAAGGGCTGTAATACTGTACAGTACTTGACAGTATTTCCCCCCAAAAAAATCAAACAAATTCTGTTTTTTTTTCAGGTGTGGCTATGTAAGTACAGTACAGTGATGTATGAAAAAGTTTTGTTCCTGAAAAATGTCTCATGAATCAAAATTCATTAATCAAAGCACACTTCCCATAAACTCCTAATATAAAAGCTGAGATATGTACCTACATAAGAAAAAATCCCAAAATGTCTTAAAATACAGTACTGTACTACAAAACTATGTTTTAATGCAAATTCTTGGTGTGTCATACTTTTTATGAAGACTATTGGTGCTGACGGAGAAAGTTGAGGGTTTTAAAAATTGGGTAAAATTTTTAAATTTTCTTAGGAAAAAGAAAAGATTTGCTCACTGAACACAATAGTGTGATCAGATTTCTGTATGCCGAATGAGAGCCACAAACAATGGGAAGGAAAATACTGTTGGACCGGTTTATATTATTGATTCCTTATACAGACACTCCCAAGTTTACGCAAAAGATTGCATTCCTGGACCCTATCCGTAATCTGAATTTTCTGTAAACCGAAAATGATCCTTCCATAAGGTTAATATGTACTGTACTGAGCATGGGACACAAAAATAAGTCTCACAAGGGGATGCACTCAGCTGCCTTATGCACAATCCTCCGCAAATAGTGTTGTTATGCCGTACTAGTTACCTTCCATAATAACAGAAATTCTTGCATAACCCAAAATTTTTTATAATGGGACTTATAGGAGGTATTCCATATCCTCGAATTTCTGCAAACCAAGTGTTTTGTAACTCGGGTAGGTTCTGTATTCTCATATGAAAGCCTCTTATGGTGTACAATTCATCATGAATAATATAACATCATCAATAATAGAAAAAAATACAATAAATACCAGAATTGTAAAGCAACTAAATAAATTTACATGAGTACGTAGTACTGTACTCAACGGGCGGATCCAGGAATATCAAAAGGGGTGTTGTCCAAGAAGTTGTGGGTGGGGGAACATTGCTAGCGCACCTGAAGTCAATAGTAAATACTTTTTACTACACTAAAATGCCTGAGTACCATACTGCATTAAAGAAAAAGTATTGGAATTTTCTGGTGAAAATGGGAGGTCTGGATCTGCTCTTGCTCAAGTAACATTTTTGGGTACAGGTATTTACTTTATAAAAATAATGTTTTTTTTTTTACTTTTGCCTTTGCTTAAGTATAGTGTTTTAATACTTTTACTTCAATACAATTGAAAAAAACAAAACTCGTTACTCGTTACATGCAAACTAATAACAGATTTTTTAATTAATTTATTAATTGTTAACCATAGTAAAAGAGTTTTGATATTCATTCAGTTTATTTAGCCAAAGGAACACAGATACAGAGTCAATAAAAATCCTATTACAGTGGTCCCTTTATTAACAAACAGTTCAATTAACGAAATTTCGGCTAACGAGAGGGGGGGGGGAGGGGGGCAGTACAACATGGGTTGTGTTAATGTGGAACAAGAGGACATAGCTGTCAGTATTATGTCTAGTTGACAAGTACTTGTACAGTATATTTATTGCAATGGTAATTTATATCTGTTTACATGATAATTTTTGATAAAACGGTTTTGGTGGTACTGTACAAAAAAAGTAGGTATTACGAAAAATATTAATACTTAGACAATAGATATTTTTTTAAGATATGATTTAAAGGAAGAGAACATAGTCGTTGCTCGGGTGGGTGGGGGTAAGTTGTTCCACACCTTCACACCATGATATTTTATGGAGGTCTGAGACTGAGGGAAGTGCATGGGGGGGGGTGGTCTTAGTAGTTCTGGGTGCCTTAAGTTGTATCTCTGATTATTCCAGAACTGGAAATGATTGGAAATAATTATTGTGGAGCCATGAAGGGTACAGTGTGAGTGTGTGGAGACACCACGTGGTCACATACCTAGAGGTCTCTTGAGGTGAGGTGACATCAGGTGGTCATGACTGCAGACATTCCCTTTGATCTTCTTGTGTCCATTAGCACCTTGACCATCCACCTCACCTAGCCTACCCTCTTTATCTCTCCCTCCCCCATCGAATCCCCTCTCTTCTCCTCCACCTTTCCTACAGGGGCTTGGTCTTCCGGTAAGATGTCAGTTGCTCTTTGCATATACCTGTACCTTAAATAAATTTCAAAGAGGCTGTGATTCTAAAATTCTTACTAATTCTGTCTTTGATATAAAGCGTGTACTGTATCTATACATAAGTATGAGAATGAATGTATTTAAAATTCTGCTTAAATAACTAAGTACCACTGGTTCCCCCCCCCCAGCACCCAGCAGATGTTACGTGGTGCAAAAAATTCAGCCACTCCTCAATTAAAATCGGAATGTAGCATTACCACAGCCACACTCCAATTAGAGGGACAGTTCATGATGAGTCTTTATCAGACTCAGTCACTATAGAGGCAACAATCATCCACAAACTCCTTAATTGAAGGAGCTTGATAGCTACTTAGCATGCCCAGGGGATGGAATAGAGCGACTGAGGTCTTTCCTGACATATGTGACTTATCTCTCAAGCTTAACACCCCACTACCTGCATCTGCTGCTTATACATGTCTGTTTAGTCATGCTGGGCTTATTATTTATTATTGCATGAATTTTTCACATCCCAAGGGGGCAACAAGCCCTAGTCACAGATTATGCAGTCAGACACTTAATTCATTGGTACTCGTGTCTCGCAGGACACACGATGACTTGTGATATGAAGACAGTATTGTTATGCAAGGACAATAGGAGTTAGCTCCCACCAAAACATGGGTAGCATACTAGAATTAAATCTAAATTGTTACGATTAAGTGGGTGGTGACTCAGCTGGTAGGATGTCCCTGACAGGGGGACAGTCAAGGCAATAGTGTTGAAGGGTTTTAGCATTGGGACAGTTACAGAGTGTACAGCAAGTGTAGTGTGGATCATCCCACGTCTCAGATACTTGCCAGATAGGTCTGTATCCTAACCTAATGTGAGCAGATACAACATTATATCTGCGGATCATAAGTCCACATCGACTATACTTGTGTGGATAAGGAAGAAAGTGCTCATAGTGTTGGTTGGATATACTCTCAGCCCGTACACTATCCCTGGTTACAAATCTTCTTAATTACAAAATTCTCCAGCTTGTACATGCCATTACTCAATTTTGTAATTAAGAAGATTTGTAACCAGGCGAGAAGGTTGGGTCACCTTACCCTCTTGACCTGACTACCAACCATTGCGGTGCTATTTAAAGATTAGTAGGGTCATTACCTAATACCTGACCATTGTGGACCTGGTCTCACCCTCCTCTGTATATATACACCTTGTTTTGTACTTCTCTTTAGTCTGTACTCACCCCTGAAGATGTGAATTACACGAAAGCGCTTGGGAACTTCGTGTTTTCTTCTTTCCTTGTGGTTATCAGCATATATATATATATATATATATATATATATATATATGTATATATATATATATATATATATATATATATATATATATATATATATATATATATATATATATATACACATACTGTATAGTGATTTAAGGGCGATTTAGGGGAATTTTAGGAGTGTTTCTGACTTTATGCGTTTTGGGTGTTTACTTTGTACTTTTTGGTGAGCTAGAACCAATTACCCAATATCCCATTGGAATAATGGATTCGGTTAACGAACGACTCTGTGGAACGAATTGCGTTCGTTAACCGAGGGACCACTGTATTGCAAATATGTGTGTGTGTGTAGATGCGCATGCACACACACACACACACAAAACACAAACAAATAAATAATAATGGGAAAATACTCTTACAAATAATCGGAAACAAATTTCTTAAAAATGTGACAGTCTACCCTCAATTACATTCTCTAAATAGAGCACGTACTTGAGGGTAGACTCACATTTTTAATAAATTTGTTTCTGATTATTTGTGAGAGAATTCTCCAATTATTACTTATTTGTACACATTTTGTGTGTGTGTGTGTGTGTCTACACACATGCATATGAAAGCCCCCACCCCTGGTCCGCAAACGTTATTCGCAGATTTGGCGATTCGCGGCCATCTTGAGAACCTAATCCATGCATATTTGGGGGGCCCCCTGTACTACACTACAATACAACATACACTACTTTTAGCAATATTACTTTGATACTACATGATAAAATGGACAAACAATGATAATGAAACCTAAAAAAGTAGGTACTGTAATTACGTTTAGGAAGCTACCCTGTGGCCGAGAGTGTGACGTGACAGGCAAATAGTCACACTGTTACCTGATAACCCGTGCTGGGCATTTAAACAGTGGAACGAGAAACTTCACCCGGGACGCTCTAGTCGGGCATTCTGGAACATTACCCAGGGCGTAGCAGTTAATTACATTCACGGTGGTGTTGTACTTGTACTACTATTTTTCCACCACAATTTTGCATCCCAAATCATTGCCTCTATTCCAGTCTCCTGCACCATGAACACCCCTTGCACATGATGGTTGGTGATGCACATGTGCCTGGTACACATGCAACACTTGAAGCAATTCTACCTCAGTTTCCTCATCACATTCCTCCTGATCTTAAAGCACTTTTCCTACACTTATGATTTGTTCACTTGGTAAATTTTCCAGTTCTTCAGTCTCAGTCTCGCTGTCTCTAATTCCCATAATATTGTGCATATTTTTCTGGGTCTCAAGGCAACATTGCTGAGGCGATGGGTCTTTCCACATGTCTCACTGGAAATGCCAGATACCTCCTCCATGACAACAAAATACAAGGGTATGCTTCTGATCGAGGGAGGGACCAATATGGAGAAGGAAATGTGCAGAAATCAGGCAATAAACTTAAAAATTATGGCGTGGAAAGATGCTGATCATATAGATGATCACTGTCATTATGGGACAAAAGGTGCTCATCATCTATTTATGATCGCCATCGTTTATGGGTTAACTTATAGATTGTAACGTGTAGTATTGATAGTATTAATAATTTCAAATAGGATACACTGTACAGTGATATCTACGTTAGCCGGAACAATTGGTGCAGAGCACTTCCGAGAATGAGATATTTCCCGGTAACGAAATGACTCTCTCAAAGCCGGATAAAAGATTCCTCATTCCCAGAATATTCTGGATACCGGGAAAATTTTCTTGGAAATTCTAGAAATTGCACATTACATCACTTCTCGAACCTGGAAAGAAATCCCCCATCCCCGGAATATTTCCAGGTACCGGTAGTTTCTAGAATGACGCACGATTTCATCCCTCAGCCGGAAAAAATTCCCCATCAGAATTTTCTGGATGCTAGAAAACTTTTCTCCGAATTTCTGGAAAATGTGCCTGATTTTCATCTCTCAAACCCAGATAAAAAAATCCCCCATCCATGAAATTTTTGGGCACTGAAAATTTTCTCAAAATTTTCCAGAATGTGTGTCCATCGGAAAATAGTTCCCAAAGCCGGAATTTTCCAGAAAATTGTAGCTTTGGGAACGATTTTCTGAGAAAATTTTAATCCCGGCTATCAGAGAGTTCTAATTAAGAGGGATTTCGGCTAACAGAGATACAACTGTATGGTAAAACTGCATTTTGCTGAAATTTAATTATTTGTTTAATTAATACGTAGATCAAAAAAGCCTGGCGAACTTCCGTGTCGTATGTACGTACCCCGTCCATCATTGTTGAAGGAGTTACTGGCTATCAACCACATGGAGAGCATCTATAACATCTTTGTGGCCATTCTTGTTCTACTCTTCTTCAACAAAGTCTTAGAAGAAATTGTACACACTGGCAGGTTGGTAACTGCACATTGTTAATTGGGTGATTAGTGTAGACTAGTTGGGTAGTAACTATATATTTTATAAGTACAATACACCACTGTCTTGCTTTGTTCTTTGTATAGGAATTATTTTCAAAGGAGGTAGATAGGTAAAGTGATATCCCGTTAGCCAGAACAATTGGTGCAGAGCACTTCGGGGGGTGAGAGATTTCCGGCTAACAAGACGACTTTCTCAAACCTGGAAAAATTCCTTATCCCCGGAACCTTCCCCCTATTACTGGGAAAAGATTCCGAGTGTCTAAACTAGATTTCTTGCACAGACGCACACTAGCCCACTTCCCCAGAACATTTCTGGGTGCTGGAGATGTATTCCTTGAGTCTAAACTACTGGAATCCATAAATACAGTTTTAATTAAGTTAGAAACTCAATTTCTTTACTATAATAAGCCAGAATAGTTTATCTAAAGGTTTGGTAATTAAATATATTTACTAATTCAAAATCTATAGGATATGAGCATGAATGAAGTTGTGTGTTGCAGCAAAGACTGTTATTTTCCACTCCCATAGAGCTGTGGGGGATTAGTGGGTCTTGTGTAACTGATCCGACCTGATGCAATGTCAGGTGGAGGTAGGGTGGGGGATTAGTGGTCTCATATTACTGACCTGATGAAATGTCAGGTCACCCTTTCTTGGGTGGAAGATTAATGGGTCTCATGACCTGAAGATGTCTTGAATAAACACGAAACCTGAAGTATTTTTAGAGAGATTGTGATAAGTACAGATATAAGCATAAATGCACAAAGTTGTATTCCTTCAACATTACATTACATAACATTTTAAAACATGGAGTGAGAAAGCTGAAAGGTGTGGGTGATTAGAGAGATGGAGTGGAAATGAGTGATGCTAAGCGCTTCTCAAGAGCTGATATTTAATTCGCTACCATGCAGTCACACTCATGCATATGTGTCTTAATTCCCTTGCTGGGTGTGTGTGTGTGTGTGGTTGTTGGAGGGTGTTTGTGTGTGATGTAGGGGTGTAGGTGATGTTGGTGTGTTGAAGGAAGCAAACCTTTTTGAGGGGATAAGGTCGTGTGGTTAGTATAATTAGTTCTAATTTCGTTAGACACACACACACACACACATAGGAATTAAGACAACAAGCATCCAGTGAGGGTCTTGTTGTGATACTGCATGGAGGCGAATTAAAAGATCAGCTGTTGAGGAGCTTATCGCTTGACAACACTGGTGCACGTTACACTCCTTTCCACTCCATCTCTCTAATCATCCACACCTTTCTGCTTTCTCACTCCATGTTTTAAAATGTTATGTAATGTAATGTTGAAGGAATGCAACTTTGCTCATTTATTCTTATACTTATCACAATCTCCCTAAAAATACTTTAGGTTTTGTGTTTATTCAAGACATCTTCAAGGTCATGAGACCCACTCATCACCCACCCAAGAAAGGGTGACCTGACATTCCATCAGGTCAGTAGTATGAGACCACTAATCCCCCACCCTACATCCACCTGACATTGAGTCAGGTCAAGTCCCCCAAAAAATACTTTAACTTTCATCTTTATTCAAGACATTTTGAGAAAATTCTCTCGATTTTCAACCTCGGAAAAATTGTTCCTAAAACCGGAAATTTGGGAAAATGCTGGCTTTGGGAATGATTTTTCGAGCAAATTTCAATTCCGGCTATCTGAGATTTCCGGGTTTGAGGGATTCCAGCTAACGGAAATATTAATGTGTTTAGTGCAGTATGTATATAGATATTACAGGTATACAATGTACAGTCACTCAAAAAATTATGTCAAGAAAATATGATGCAACGGACGAAGGATTTTGACAACCCTACTGAAATAACGTGAATCGAAGTGTTTATTCTGAAATTCAAAGACTCCCCCAAGATAGTTTTATTGAGTGACTGTACATAGACTGTGCAAGTATGCAAACAATGTACCTAGTCAGTGTAGGCATATAAACAATGGTAATCGGTAAGGCGATTCAACAAGGATAGTCAACAAAACCGTCAGTGAGTCTTTGTTGAGTGAATCCAGTTTTACCTAGTATAGCAGGAGGTGGGGTTTCATTCCACACTCCATTTAGTATCCTTGAGTGACTACTTATGTGTACAGCTCTAAATTTATCTCAAATATTAACCCTTAAATGGCAGCTTAGGATTTCCAACTCACCCTTAAATGACAGCTAAGGATTCCCAACTCCACCCTTATAGGTGCAGAAATGTAATGCAAGGAACATGAAACGTCCACTGATGATGCCCTTCGTCCCCTACAGCTACTTTCATTAATGATGGCTGCCATTTAAGGGTTTAAATAATGCCTTCAAACCAGGACAAACAATATGATTCATATGATTTAAGGTTTTTTTGGTTGTTTATTTCTTTGTGGAATATGAGTCTGCGGTTGATAACATGTTTTGAATTCCAGGAACACATCCTCCGACTTATTTGCAGTTATATTAGATTGTGTAAATTTTATATAGAATAGAACCCCGTTTATGTGGAGTCCAGGGAACTGGCTGATTCAACTAACTGGCACTAAATCCAAATACGTACTGTACAGTAATAATAATGAAAATAAGAATTCTACTACAATCGGCTAGAATTATAATTTTGAATACCACGCGCAACGGGGATGAGCTGTCATATTTATTGTTATGATTGACAATAAAATTGACACATAGCATATCATAAAATACAATAGTACTTGTACAAAAATCGCTCCTTTCACACTCAAACCATCCTTTGGGCGACATAACACAGTTCAGCTAGGCAGTCACCCAGGTGACTCACAAACATGTAGCTGCCATGCTGCACTGTACATATGCCATGACATCACATGAGGAGAGGATAGAGTGCTGCAACGTAGTTATAGCCCACCACCTCCACACATGTTCACTTCAAACAACATAAAGAACCATGCTCTTCATTTTTCTTATTTATAGTTTTATATTAGATTTTCTTTATTTCTAAGCCACATTGTTCATTTACAGTACAGTCAAGTGGAATAAGTGTTAAAGGAATCTTGTTTTTCTACAAATCCGTGCATTTTCATGAACACAGTACAGGGGGCTCCCAAATTTGCAGATTTTTATTTTGAGGTCCTCTATTATTCGTGGATGACACCCTGGATGTACCCAAGAATGTCTGTGGGTAGTTTTTAAAGTTGCCAGCATTTTTGCGGCTGGGACAGGGAGCCATTCGTTCTAGAGACAGTAATTTCCTTTACCTGTACTGTATTGTAAATATGTGTATATGTGTGTGTCTACACACACACACATATACAATACAGGTCAAAGAAATAATTGTCCTAAGGGCAAATGCATAAAGGGAATATACAGTACATTTCTTTGTATACAAGTAAAAATTTACCCCGGGGGGGGCAGCAGCAAATGCTATTTGCGGATTTGGCAATTCACGGTCATTTTGAGAACCTAGAATTTGGGGAGCCCCCTGTACTGTACTGCAGTTGGGGAAAGCTCATGAAAATGCACATATTTGCGGAAAACTGACTTTTGAGACACAAATTTGCGAGAGCAACCTGTAGCACATGCATTGTAGGATTTGTTGGGGGATCCCAAGATTAAGGTTTGACTAACCAAAAAAAATCTCAATCTGGTACCTCTTAATCCATGTAAGTGCCGGATAACTGTGATTCTACTGTACATGAGGTTTTAAAATTATAACCCTTTTATACATTGAGGGATTGCTGGATTTTTGCTATAAATACCTTCCCATGGCACTGTTATATGCATTTCACCAAAGAATTTATGGAAAATGGAATGGTATGAGTGGTAGAGAATTTATCATGGTGCATTCACAAACAAAGATCCTGAGGATACACCTTGATGTGGAATGCTTCTGGTAAGGTGCTTCTTGCCTTAAATTATTCACATTAGATCCTGATCAATGTACAATACAGGTTGTACCTCTCTAGTCCGGCATTCTGTGGTCCAGAAACTCCTGTGGTCCGGAACGATTTTAGTTTGCCCAATAGCCAACATCCCTGATGTAACTCAAATGTAATTTTAGTTACAGTACCATCACTTCACTTTGGAGGAATAATTATGGTAGCATTAAAGGTAAATGAAATAGTATTTTAACAGTATTAATTTTTCTTGTTTATTTATTTCCGATCTTACGTTTTTATGCCTTATGTAGGGTGTTTCGAGGGTGAATTTCCATGGTCCGGCACCGGTCAGGTCCCGAGGTTGCCGGACTAGAGAGGTACAACCTGTACTATATTCCTTCTGAAACAGGTAGCTGTCTCAACATTCAGACGAAAATATTATAAATTTATTTTAGCTTTTATTATTATAATTGCATTGCATGTGTCTAGAAGTTGATTTGTTTGGAAATATTAAAAAAAAATTCATTCTCAATAAAAACTCATAATAAGCCTGCACAAGTGTCCTATACTGTATTGATTAATATGTAAAATGATTAGTGCCAAATAGTAAACTCAACTTGAAGATTAGCACTGGACCCTTTATCTGAAGATGAAGAGGAAAATTAAGATCCAAGTACACTGGTTTGGTCCATTTGACCAGAACATTATGCTCATTCAAATCACAAAAAAAAAAACATTGGGGTACTGATAATCATTCATTAATATTTCTTTATACTGTACAACAGTAATGAGAGAATGCCTATAGTTTTTATTTACAGGTACAAAGATTTTTTTATTCTCTTTCAGCCCAAATTTAGATCTTTCACTTATAATCTGGGCCTTTGGTGGACTGGACAGGGTCATTGTTATATGGGTGTGCATGTTTACAAGCACATCAGTCCTGGTTTACCTAAGTTTCCATCACTGGGCACACTACAGACATAATATGCCAGGTATGGATCATACAAAGAAAACTTATTGCAGTACAGTAAACCCTTGCCATTCATGATTTCGACAATTTGCAGTAAGCAGATGGTGGTTAGCTTGCAAGCCTTTTCCTGCAGCACAGAGAGTCACCCCACGCAGCATCTCGTGTTTTATTCTCAAAACTTTAGTGTTTCTGTGTGAAATGGCTCCTAAACGACTGCCTAGTGTCAGTGCTAGTGATGCTAGTGGAGTGAAATGTAAAAGGCAGAAGTCAGTGATGACCCTGACAAAGAAAGTTTTATTATTAGATAGTAAGTTAAAAGAGGGGATGAGTGCTGCCACGGCTGGTCGGTTGTTTGGTATGGGTATACAGTAGTACACTAAGGTAGTTTAAGTTGCTATTCGCTGTTTTGCCAATTCTCACCATTTCTTGGAACCTATCCCTCGCGAATGACAAGGGTCTATTGTATTGATAATATTTATATATATTCAAATGCAAATACAGCATGTAATTTTTTTAATATGTTTATATCCTACTGTACAGATAATATGATAATTTAACCTTGGTTGGGTGCTGCGATGCATAATGTATAATTACGGTATATATGTTTTGAGTTTGCGTAACTTATTGGTAAAACCTGTAGTGCTGAGGCACCTTCATTCAATCGAGCTTTGCGTGTCTTTTTAGTAAAAGAATGCTAATATAGTGACTCCCTGAACAATCACAGATCTTATGTTGATGATTCAGATCATGCTGAGACATTATTTTTGAAGTCTAGATCATAATACTCTATTTATTAGATTTCACTCTCATCCACTGGCCTCTTTAAGTTTGTTACCCTTGTCAGGAATACATACAAGGAAATTCTATCAGTGAATATTTGCAGCATCGTACCCATACTGCGAGAGTATTTTTTTTTCTCCCACCTGCACCCCAGCAACCATTGTTCGTGTATAATTTTGAACGACATGGTCCCCATCTTTGTGTAAAATGTCTTCTACCTTCCCTGCATTTTAACTCGAAGCTCCCAACTGGTTTTTCAATTTGTCATCCATCTTCTCGCTGGAAACAAAGCTGATGCTTGGTAAAGAGAGCATGAAGATTGCTACTGTTTATTTAGAAAGATCAGTCTGCTTGTGTGGGTTGTAGTGAAGGATAATACAGGTTGTACCTCTCTAGTCCGGCATTCTGTGGTCCGGAACGATTTTAGTTTGCCTTATAGGTAGATAAACAGCTTCTTTTTTTTTTACTTATCTGAATTATTATTATTACAGGAGTATTACAGTTTTGCCCCTCAGGCTCCAATGTGGGTCAGTGACCTGTGCCCGGGTGGGCTAATCCCCGTAAAAAAAAAACAACAACAAAGAAGCCGCGGGAAATTAAGGTTTGTTTACATCCGGCAGTTCAGCTCTCTCTGTTTGTCTATACAGAGTACAACATTTAACCCATCAATATATATGAACAGTAAATAAGTGTTGCTTTCATATTCTTATGTAGAGTAATGACGATATGTTTTCACATGAGCGCACTTACATACGCGATCTCACTTTTTTTCTTTAACATTAATGGTTAGCTACTTACCGTATATTGTTCCATTTATTAACATTAATTTTACTACAGCTACAACCAGGGTCTTATTTTCTTGTTTTATATGTAGAACCAATCAGTCACTGGTTTTGTAATCCACAAAAACAATGCTGTCTCATTTCCTTGTGTGTTTTAATATTCTACGTGTTATTAATGAATTGTATTGCTCATTTTGCACACATAAACATTAATTCAATAAAAAAAAACATTCAGTAATAAAAAATAATGAATCTTTTGTACATAAGAGAAATGACGCTGTTTACACGATTGTGCACGCCTAAACGTTGGCAGACCGTTCAAACCCGTCGAAATTCGAGTTTCCGCCGTCAAAATTTTCAATTATGTAGTTTTTTTTTGTGTGTCCAAATAAAAAACGTTGAATTAAAAACTCGCGAAATTTGAGAAGCTAGTGTACGACATTTAATCCTTCAATATGTCTTCAAAGAGACCACGAAGCTGTGAAAGTGGTGCTAATGTAAGCGCAAGTCACTATCTGTCCAGGAAAAGGGTGAATTTCCATGGTCCGGCACCGGTCAGGTCCCGAGGTTGCTGAACTAGAGAGGTACAACCTGTACATGTATTTATGATCTTTAACAGCCTTTATTTCTCTATGAAAATATTAAGTAATACTTGATGAGAGTGTTCTAGCCTTAGTAGCAACCTGAACAAAAAATTTCAATAGAAGATAAAGCTTTCTTACCATGAGAAACGTACAAAGAATGCCGGAAGAATGGGTTTTGTGTGATATAAGTTTTGACATGCAAAATGGGCAGATGAAGATGGCCAAACATATCCTTGCTTTGAGCACTATATTTAGACAATAGCAATGGTTCTTTTTGCAGAAAGGAATTTTATTCTATTTTTAAAGATGAGGAATAGGATATAACTAATATTTTAGGTTAGGCTAGGTAAGTTATTTTTTTCATTTTATGAATGATACATTAAGAGATTGCTGCAATGGGGTAGTAAACATAGCAGAAGCAGAGGCCTTCTCCACAAACAGAAAAACTAAAAAAAATTAAAAAAATGAAAAACACAAAAAGCATTCCTCCTGGATTTTTTGTTTTGTTTATTGAAGTAAGAAAGTTTTTATCTTCTATGGAGAAATTTCATCAGGTTGCTGCTAAGGCCAGGCAATTCTTGTCAAGTAAAGTACAGTATTAAATATTTTCAGCAGGGTATATGCAAGCATTTTTAAGACCCAGGAATGCATTCATGATTTTCCCATAAGAATTTAAATCTGACAATGAATGATGGAACCTAACCTCACTCTCTTTCAAGGATCCATTATACTTATTGGGTATATACCAGGTTTATTTGATGTCTTGCAGTTTATTTAGTGTTATTAGGAGGATGTGTTTGTTTTAAACACACATCTAGTTCGGTGTTACAATATATATTTTTTTTTCCTCTTTTAAATGCTATTTTTCAATCATTTCTCTCACACAGCTGTATATGATTCAGTGGGAGGGATCATTTACATCGCTTACTTAAGTCTGTTCCTCTACTTGCCTCTACAAAGTCTTCTTTACCATGAACTTCCTCCTGCTTCATCCTTCATTATCCTATGTGAACAGGTGAGACAGTGTTATTGGTTTAGCTCAGTTTGATTTTTATTTTTTTTTACCTTTGAGAGAATTAATAATATATTGTAGTGAAGGATTGATTCTAAAAATTTGTTTTATGGCTCAACATGGAAATAAGCAACTTGTGAATTATCGGCAAGAGTCTTGAGTTGTAAGACTGAGTTGAACCAAGCGATATCATAGACTGGGGTCTTTAGAAACAATTGTTAAAAAAATTATTAAATTTGGAAGCAACAGCAATTCATGAGCACGTCATGAGATACACAGATCGAACTTTTAGGAGAAGAGTGGACTCAACTTCATTGTTACACTGCTGTCATAATTACTGACACTCGTAACTATGTTTAACCTTAGATATCTGAGCATCTCTATATATGTTGATATCTCTTTATGAACTCCGGATCAGCCAATCATTCAGATGAAACCTAATAAAATGTCTTTCTTAAAAAATTTTTAACCCTTAGGCCCCGGGCGACATTCCAGAACGTCCGACTAGCGCTCCCTGGGTGACGTTCCAGAACGTCCGCCTATTTTCCTGCCATTTTTGTATTATTTATTTATTTATTTTTTTTTTTAATTATTTTTGGAAAAATTGCATTTTGTTCTCGATTTAACCCCGCGCGGGGGTGGGGGGGGGTTTATTGCCAGCAGCACCCTAACCCGGGGCATAAGGGTTAATTAAAGATAACTCCTGAGTTCTTAGTGAAAACTCTAAAGGGCAACTTTTAACCTGAAGGGAAAAAATAAACATTGGAAGTACAGACATGCTTCCCTGAAATGGGAAGAAAGAAATTTTCTATACTTTTTGTGAATACCTGTGGGAATATGCCAATAAGTATCTTTCAAATCTGTGAGCTTTGACCATATGTTGAGTAGAGGTCTTTGTTTGCTCATTTAGCACCCAGACAGTTTGTCTACCTCCTGGAGGCTTGGGAACATGGAAGGGTCTGAACAAAAAAGGGAATTTGTCTTCATCTCAGATTACACAATTACCACTTACCTAACAACTCCTCAGCAAAATTTCAAAAGAACACTAAATCCTTCTGATCCTGATTGGACTTATGAGGAATAGAACTTGTTTACTGTGGTTATTCCTCTAATAACTTAAGGATTGCCTATCCTAACACCACAGACCTTTGGGAAAAAACGACAAATGTCCTCCCATGGGAAGTTCATCATTAACCTCCATAAACTGAAGGAGCACCAACTACAACATGAAATCTTGACTGGGATGAAATATTTATTATGTCTGAAGCCCCACTGAGCCAGAAAAAAGTTGTATCAACTGTTGCTTTTCAAGATTTCTTTAAGAACTTGGTAATGATGGTGAAGTGTAACTAATTCATTATTTAGTACCAGTCTGTGATATCCAGGGGTTACAGTCTAGGTTTATTGACTATAATTCATAAGTTACTTCATGAAAGATGCTGGCCATGAATTGACATTATTGATATTGGTAATTTTCATTTGGTATCAGTAATTTTTATGTAATTTGAGATGATAGGTTCAATTATTTATTTGTTTTAAGTTATAACCAAGAAATAAATTTTATATGTTACTTTCAGGTGAGAATGTTCATGAAAACTTGGGCATTCGTCAGAAGTAACCTCAACCGAGCAATCAAGTACAAGAAAAATGATGATTGTCAAGCAGGAAATCTTTGTCCTGATTTTTCATATTATTTGTATTTCCTCTTTGCACCAACATTGGTTTATAGAGATGAATACCCGAGGTTTGTGCTGTACCTATGACCTTTTCCATTTCAGTTTTGTGATCTGCATTATAAATAGCAAATGTTGTTGAAAGAGTTATCATATTTTAGGAAAGTTCTTAGTGTACTTTGTAGAATGTTGTTCTTATTCTGAACACATAGTGCAGACTTAGCACTTTTTTTTTTTAGGTGGATTAACCCAACCAGGCACAGGTCACTGACCCACATTGGAGCCTTGGGGGCAAAAATATAATATTAATAATAATAATACAGGGTGTGTTAATAGATAAAGAATTTAATAAACAAATACCTGTACAAATAAAATAATAATAGTAATAATGATAATAATAATAATAATAATAATAAAGAACAATACTCTTCTTTAAATAGTACGGTAATCGTAAAAATTCATACAGTATACTGTACAGTATTCATTTTTACAGAAACGAAACTTGCGATTGGCAGCAAGTGTTCAACGACTTGAGTCAGGTTATTGGCTGCTTATTCTATACACACTTTCTGTTTGTGCGATTTTGTGTACCTGTCTTCCAGAAGTTTGGACAGGAGTCCTTCACTGCGGTAAGATATGCATAAATATTACACTTTATTTTATTAGAATATTCAGGGAGTACATTCTAGAGCCAGAGCATTCCCAGTACTTGGCAACAGTGTGTGTAATGGAAAAATTACCAACTGCCCAACTAGCTAAAGATCTAGCTAGTGGCAAAGTAGGGTAAAGTATAGCAAAGCAAAGTTAATCAAATTGTATTGCCTGTTGTTTCAGTGGTTCTGCTTACTTTGCCAATTGTAAATGTGAAATATATTATCTTTGTTACGTAGAAAAGGCAAGATTCTTGGTTCATAACACAAGAGAAACACTGCATTGATACAGACTGGTAAAGTCAAACAAAAACATGCAGTAAACTATGTAACCACACTGCTCCTATTCCATGGCTGCCTAGTGCATATGCCATTTTATGCCAGCATCACTCAATGTTTATGTTAAAAAGAAGTTGAATCTCTTTCTGCCTGTAAAATTTGCCTTACCCGGTACTAGTTTATCATTTCTGATCAAGAAGTAAACACAGACTAATTGCTTGTACAGTGAGTTCTGCTATAACGCGTGTTTTGATAACGCGAATTTGCTCTAACGCGATTTATGAATAGAGGAACGATATTTGTATAACGCGAACGCTTGTTTGCTGTAATGCGATTTTTGCTTACTATTTTTCCAATTTTGTGGTATTAACTGTGAATATGGTAAAGAAGAATATCTCCAAGAAACGTTCTGGTGATCGAATTCCCGGTGATGATCGTAAAAGAAAGGATATAACACTTGAAGAGAAGCTCGATGTTATCAACCTCAAAATCACCCTTCTCCCCCATCAAGTTATATTCATATTTTTTCAAGGTAAAGTGTTGCATTTACTGTATGATTTCATTATTAGATATGAATGTAACATTTATTTAGACTGTGCTATCCTTTGTGTTAGGTTAACTACTAATTTTTTTTCGATTTCGAGTAGTAATCTGCACCTAACCCTATTTTCTCCATAAGCCCTGTTATTTCTATTGCGCGATTTTCTATAACACGATACAGTGACCCCTCGTTTAACGAACACCTCGGTTGACATAATTTCGATTAACGAACTGCCTTCCATAAGGATCCTCAATTCGGTTAACGAAGTTCTTACGAACCGACCTCAACATGTTTTCGCTTGCACTGACCGGCCAACCAGCTTTAGTATCAATCCGCCAATACATTAATCGGTTCTAGGGCTTAAATTCCTTAATATTTTAGTAAATATCAAGAAGTTTATACTATTCAATAATTTTAAAAGTTTAATATTCAATTTTTTAGTAATTTTAACAATTATTGAACATAATTGAAGGTAAATTTGACTAGTTTAATGCGCGGCATCCAGCCTCTTAACACAGCAAACAGGCGTTAGTCTCTCTCTGTTTTCACTGGAGGTAACATCGTGCTTGAGACTCTCTTCAACTAAACACTTTTTTTCTGTGTTTCCAAGCAAATTATTGGTCATTTTGAAATTTATTTTACATATTGACAATATATAATGCAGTGCAGTGTTGATTTAAAGAAAATAATCTTGAAATACACCAAGAGAACTAAAATTTTATGGGTAAAATGGTGCCATGGGGTGACTTCTCTTCCACCCCAATGCCTTCTCTTCTCCCTTCTCCTCCTCCACCTCCCACTTCAAATACACATCATCATCATCATCCAGGAGCCTTCTACATACACACCTCAAAGTAAGTAAATTTTTCTACCATTTTTGTTGAAGTTAGGAAATTTTCGGTGAGCTGGAACCAATTACCCAAAAACCCATTGAAACAATGGTTTCGGTTGACGAACTTTTCGGTTAACGAACGAATTTCTGGAACGGATTGAGTTCGTTAACGGAGGGGTCACTGTACTGACAAAATTTTCGTTTGTAATTCCCTTTAAAATGGCTGGCAAGCATAAAAGTGAGAGTTCTCGTGGTGCTGAGAAGAAAAAGGGATACCCATTTTAGATTTTCTATGTCTTAGTTGTGCATTTTCAACTCACAACCTGGTCGTCTGTCCCTAACCCTGTCGTAAGTCGAGGACTGACTGTAATAATAAAGAAATATAAATACAAAAATTAAAAAAAGATCAAAAGTGAGAAACAACATATATACTGTGTTGTCAATAGTAAGAGAAACAATTGAGACCCTGCAATTGTGTGTAAATGAGGCAGAAAGTCAGATCAGCAACCTGGGACTTGGTCAAAAGTGTTGTGATGCCATGTGGCAGCAGGGTCCACCATTAGACAACACATTATGCTTCCAATATCTTCCCAGGTGGTAGTACCTCCCTGTTTGGTAGCTGCCTACTCCAGTAACAACTTGTTGCATGCCTTTCACAACTGTGTCCAATATTCATTTCCTAGCAGGGGTCAGAAGTGAGAAGGGTATTATCCAGTGTGAACCTGCCAAACATGACAGGGTTTCTCCAGGTAATCTGGTCTCCTGTATTAATTTTGGACAATAAAGCATGTAATTAACCGCCAGATCAAACGGCTAGTAAGCAAATTAAATGGTGTAAATTATAAATTTAAACATGAATATATATTTTTGAAGGTTTATTGATCCTGAGATGCAGCTCATACATCTTTCTATATGCTGCAGGTACTTTATTATTGTTTTTATTATATCTACATGAGGTAGGCTGATTTATATGACACTTTTCCAGACAAATCTGTTGGTGGCTGTGTTCTCTTGCATGTTCCCTGGTTCACTTGTTCTTCTGTGTGGGTTCTTTGCCATTCTTCATGCCTGGCTGAATGCATTTGGAGAGATAATGCGGTTTGCTGACAGAATGTTCTATAAGGTAAGTTATCGGTAAGTGACCATTTATCCAGCATGCTTGAGACCTGGGTATGTCAAATAGGGTTTTTTTTTCCGGAATTTGAAGTGCCAGGCCTAAAATTTACACAATCCGTGGGGTAATGACCACACTTGTAAGAATAGTTTATTCCCTTTATGTTTTAACCTTATGATAATCTCCTTTTTTTGCCACATTCTGTATGAACGATTGCGTGTGCATGTGCATATAACAAAGAAAAAAATGTAGTATGTATCTACTCGAAATTATGAGTTGAAAAATAACAATAACACAGCTTCGCCTGGTACAAGGAGAGCTATGGGATATAGCTTCAGAGACAGTCTGACTTGCCAAGTCCACACACTTGTTCAAGTCACACACACACACACACACACACACACACACACACACACACACACATACATACATACATATCTATGCTCTTCCTATTTCTTATTTAATAGCAAACATTTTTTATATACAGGTACACCCCATATAATGCAATAAAATAACTACAATAACATAAAAACAATACAAAAGAACACTGTTTGAGTGAGTGAACGTGCGTACATGAGTGTGTGTGTGTGTGTACAATGTTTGTAAGTGAGTGTAAACATTTAAACGCATTTATATTTGCCATATGAAGAATTATGGTACTTTCGGCATATATTTTCACGCTGCGGTTTGAAAGTGAGGGTACAAGTTGGGGTAAATGTCTTCCTCGTGTGAATTTTCATGTACCCGTACATGCCCTATGTGAAATGGTCCCATTGAACTTCATTAATTTCTCAACCACATGGGTTTGTACGTGCAGAAAAAAGTCCATGTGAAGCAGACCTTACTTCAGAATATGAGAGCTGTGGTTAGCCCACCCAGTAGAAATATTACTGTAAGGTATCATAATTTTTCATTTGTGAATAAGTGGGGTATGCTTTGCAAATGTTGAATAAGAGTGTTAAAATATCAATTATAGATAAGTGGGGTTGCAAATAGCGAGATACTGTTGTAAAATCAGCTTATTATTTGAATAGTATGAGTCTAAGGTGATATCATTTTTTTAATAAATATATGGTAACTATAATGTACAGTACAGTTCATTATATTTTTCAGTTGTTGGAATTATTTTATTGTTTCGGTGTTTTCTGTTTTAGTGGACTTGTTTTAATTTGGAACTTTGCAGTTAAATCAAAGTTTAAATACTGTGCAATACATTGAATTAAGATACAGGTACACACATCTAAACAAATACAGATTTTTTTTTTTACTGGGCTGTACACTGTATTCAGTACAGTACAGTACATGATATAGGTAGAAATTTACATACAGTATTTTCTGTCTTCCAGGACTGGTGGAACTCAACATCATATGCTCGATTCTACCGCACTTGGAATTGTGTAGTGCATGATTGGTTGTATGAGTATGTATATAGGGACATCGTTGCATGGCAGGTAAGATTTATTAGAATATTAGTTTTTAATGTTATTTAGTGGATAATACGACCTACCTAAAAGGTGAAAAATTTAATAAACCTTTAAGATATAATAATATATAGAATGGAGCATGTAGTGTTTATTTTGTTTTTACTGTACAGTAATACCCCGATTTACACGGTCAAATGAACCCGCGGAGTACCGTGTAAAACGAGAAATGCGGAAATGGAATAACAGAACATAAGGGATTAATTGAAATAGAGACTGGGCCGACCCCCAAACTCCACTTTTTGCCAACACAATACGTACGTTGTAGTAAAAATAACGTCTTAACTTTATAGAAGAGAAATATGAATAAGAGAATAATATACTGTACCAGGTAAAAGAAAAATCAAGGTTTAACACTTATGTAAGGTTAGGTTCGGAAAATCAAGGTTTAACACTTACGTAAGGTTAGGTGAGGTTAGAAAAAATCAAGGTTTAACACTTATGTAAGGTTAGGTTAGGAAAATCAAGGTTTAACACTTACTTAAGGTTAGGTGAGGTTAGAAAAAATCAAGGTTTAACACTTACGTCAGGTTAGGTTACAAAGAATCAAGGTTTAACACTTACGTAAGGTTAGGTTATGTTAGGAAAAATCAAGGTCTAACACTTACATAAGGTTAGGTTATGTTAGGGAAAAAATCAAGGTTAGGTTTAACACTTACATTCGTAGAAGAGATGGGTCGGCGTACGGGAATGACGGCTGGTTCCGAGGCAGAGGGCAGACTACTGGCCCTCAGGTGAGTCACCATTACTGTCCTCCACATTTGTCAAATCCCTCAGTCACCATCACTGTCACTGGCTTGGCCTGGCTGTGGTGGGTTGCAGGCAAAGAACTCGGTAATGCTTTGTTGACGGCTAGTGTTGATGTTGTCGTGATACACCTTGATGTACGGCTCCATAGCCTGCAACAGCTGGGTAGTGAAGACTTCATACTGGTTATCGTTAGGGTCGTCGGAAAGGAGGAGCTTGAGTTTCTCTGCACACTCGACGGCACCCCTAACATTACCATGCGTTAACTTGTGTTCTTCTCGGGATGACGCACCACCTGCATCTTCACTGATCTGATCGTCTTCTAACATCTCGTCAGCAGTCACCTCAGGATCCCTGATCACCTCCAGGATGTCTGCGTTGGTGGTCTCGGAGAAGCCTGCAGCTGTAACACTCTGCGCAGCTTCTCTGGCAAGGTCCACTGCAACAGACTGAACCTCAACAGTCACAGGTTGACTCTGCCTCCCACCAGGGATACCTTGCAACACATGCCTCCATACGTGACGAACCGTTGCTACAGACAGCTGTTCCCATGCCTCCACCAAGAAGTCCACAGCTTTCTTGACGTTAAATTTCTTCCAAAAGTGTTTGACGAGAACTTCTTGATACGCCAACTGTTGTTCCTCGTCCTCTTCGCTCTTGCTATCGGTGTCACTCAGGTTACGCAACTCATCCTTGGTGTTGGTACAGTCGTTCAGGAGCTTAAACTTCTTTGCAGAGTTTGCAGCTTTCACATTGCAGGTTAATTCTTGGTCCATGGGCTAGATTAATGACATAGTGTTGGGAGGAAGGAAGACCGCTTTTACGTTTGGGTGACGATCCAACAGTAGGAGCGAGTGAGTGTCCTGGTGCGTTGTCAAGGAGCAACAAAATGTTGAATGGAACATTCTGTTGCTCGCAGAATTTCTTCACGTCGGGAACGAAACAGTCATCAAACCAGAAGAGTGACAGAGCAGAGAACATCCACGCATTACGTGCGGTTAGCCAGTGGACATTTAGCTTGGTCATGTCCACATCCTTGTAGGCGTGCGGCTTGTGGGCTGTGTGGATCACCGATAACTTGAGTTTACAGGAACTGGAGGCATTGGTGGTAAAGAGGACGGTGATGCGCTCCTTCTGCAACTTCCAGCCCCGACACTTGCTGGCAGACTGGACAACGAAGGTCTTGGAAGGTAACTTTTTCCAGAAAAGACCAGATTCGTCCATGTTAAACACCTGGTCGTCGGTGTACTGTACTTCCTCCATAACCTCACGTAAGAACGGAGGAAAATCCTTAGCCGCAACACGGTCAGCACTCACTTCTTCACCACCAGTGTTAATGTTGGTGATCTTGTTCCTCTTCTTAAACCTTTGCAGCCACCCAGAGGAAGCATTGAAGGGTTTGGGCTCTGCAATTCCCATCTTACGTGTCACTGCTGCGTACAGTTCATGTGCGTACTCCTGAACTGACCGCGTGTCGACTGCCATGTTCTGTCTTGCCTGATGAACCAAGTAACACACAAGTAAATTTTCTGTCTTCAGAAGCACCTTGTTCTGGCAATACTTGATCATTGAAGCACCTGCAGTCTTTGTGATGTTCATGTGATCTTTTATCTTGGCTGCATCCTTCTTTACCGTCCGGATCGTAGATTCGTTCACGCCATGCTGGCGCGCCAAATCAACTTGTCTTGTTCCTTTCTCCAACTCTTGAATAATCTTGTACTTCACATCGTAGCTTAGGGAACGTCGTATCTTCTTTGGCTTAGGGTGGCTGGGTTCAGGTAAGGCAAGGTTTTTCTGTGGTGGTGGTGGTCCGGTGGCAGCCATTCTTACGGAACAATAGATACCGGTATACACCCGCCGGCTGGTGGGCACATCATATTACATTAGACCAATCACAGATGGAGGGGAGGGAGGTAAGGATGCGTGGCCCAATTACAGTCCGATACGTCATATGACATCAGCGATAACGCAACAGAGACATCCACTGCGCAACCTTCTCGCGTCGCGTGCCCAACATGGCGGGAGATGGCCGGAGGTTTGAATCCAAAAGTGGTGGCGTGGCAGGACCGCCAGCCTCTCTCCACGTATATGAGTAGATGCACCGCGTAAAGTGGGCATTCCGTTTCTGGCGGGGTACTGTGTAAATGTGGAAACGCGTAAATTGGGGTATTACTGTCCTAGAAATTTATGAGTTTTACTTTTGGAATTTGTGATCCCCAAATTTTTTTTATTCTCAATTTACTTTTTAACCAAAAATTTATGTAGACACCAACATTATGTGTGTCATTTCCTACTTTGCATGAAGATAGTCTTATGCCAAACTCATGAAGGTTACTGGTATTATATGACTCAATAAACTCCTTGACATTGACACGGCTTACACCTGCTGTACATACTGCATCTGTTCTTCCACTACCTCTGCTTCTCCTCAGGTATTGTAAATACTTTTATATGCAGTTAATTGGATATTATGTATTGTTAGGATGCATAATGAAAACCTATGGTATAATGATCAATGGTCTTACCTTTTATTAACAACATTGTTGTTATTATTGTTAGGTTAATAAATTCTGAATACCCAGTACAAAGCAAGTGTGTACTGTTCTGTACTATACAGTAACCTGCTTATGGAACTGGTGGTGTAGACACCTTTATCTAATAAACCCTCTTTATTTCTAAAACATTTAACAGGTTTTACCCAGTTAATCATTTCTTCACATTTACCTGCCCTTCAGAGAAAGCAAGGTGAAGGTTGTGCACGGCTGCGATGCTTCCCAATGCTGGTGGTGTTCTTTATATCCTCAGTGGTGCATGAGTACATCTTGGCCTTTGCATTTAAGTTCTTTTACCCTGTTCTTCTCGTCATGTTTGGAGGCTTTGGAGGTAACACACTAAAATTACAGTACAGTAGACCTTACTTCTTTGCACAGTTGTTCTTCTTTATCATTATCAGTTAAACAAAGGAGAATCTATGATAAGTATGCTTTCATATAAATTTATTTTACAGTACAGTATATGTATTGTTCATAGAAGAGTTAATCAAAAAGAAAGTTTAAAGTTAGATAAAGTAAGTGTTGAGTGGTCATGTTGTGCCATAGAAGTTATAATCATTCTCAAACTTATGATATTATTGATTAATTTTTAAACTTATTGTAGATCAGTACAGGTCCATCACCGATTTTCCAGCACCCTTGGTTCCAAAGCCTTGCCTGATTATCCATTTTGCCGGACCAACCGAGGTCAGGTAATAATAATTCAACAATACACCTCTGACCCACTAATGATACACCTCCCATGTCTCTAAAGCACCATGGACTGCTAGAAACATAAATTAAACAATTATTAAATGTAAATTAAATGTGAAAACAACATAATTTTGAGCAACATTACTGTACACACTTTGTACTCAAAATGTACTAGACTAGACTAGACTAAATTTTTTATCTCTTGTGAAAACTACCTGTATGTTATGTTTATACTCAAATTAATTACTATCTTGCAAGGATTCCAGCAATGTAATTTATATTCTGCTAAGTCTAGTCTGCTACCTTTTATAAGATAAAAACTTTAAGCCTAAAACTCCCATCACCCAGGCTGGGAGGGAGGGAGGGAAGTTAAGTGCCCTCTCATAATTTTGTCCGGACCAAAGGAGGTGCCGGATCATCAGTTCCTGGATAATCGGTGGTGTGTCTGTACTAAGTTAAAGCAGTACGTACATAAATCATAAATGTCAGTGTGCAGTAAGAAAAATTGCTTTAGTGAAAAGGTAAAAAAAAAATTGTCCTGTCAATACAGTATATCCCCAAGTTAAGCCAACCGTGATGGGGGGGTAGTGGTGACTAAGCCCGTGAGAGTGTTAAGCCCAAAGTGCACCAGAGGAGAGCAGATTTGCTTGCACAAGAATTGCTATAAACATTAAACCATGTGACAGAGGCATCTTGAGCCTATGTTGATTTGCCACTGGTGTGATGGACACTCCAATCCACTTGTCATTGTTTTACGCCCAATATTGGCAAGTTTTACCACCCAGAACTCAGATTTCCAAACCCTCCCCTACCCCTGGACAATACTGGAATTTGAGTAGGATAATGACGAGCAGCAGGTTTCTCGCCCATATCATTCTCTAGAGCAAGACCAGGGGATTCTGGTACTGTAGAAAATGGATTTTTGCACCCATGGTGGGCTTGTCACTGTATTACACAATGCTTCATATGTGCCTATATAGTATGTATAGTGTGTGTTGATACCATTTACTGTACTGTATACAGTATGTATGTATATCTTTATATAGGTATTTGTGTGTTCATTTATTAGTATAAGAATAGTTATACATCATGTTTTGTTTCTATCATGAATATCCTTATACAGTACACTAGAGCACTGTATTATAATAATGTATTTTTTGCAAACTCATAATGGCTGAAAATCAGGACATTTTATAATTTATTACTGTAACATCCTCTTTCTTGTTACTTTCCAGTTGCTTTTATGTTTGTGAACAGTAAAGCTCGCCAGTTCAACATCTTCCTCTGGGTCACGCTGATATTTGGAACAGGCGTTTTAATGTGCTTATACAGCATGGAGTGGTATGCCCGCATTAACTGTCCACCTGTTTATGTAAGTTGAAATCTACGTCATGTAATGTAATTCAGTCTAAATTTGTGTCAGTTATCTTTACTCTTCTCCAACTTTTGTCTGTGGTAGTTCAAGGGGTTTGGAAATCTTAAAGAAAGATGGAAATAATAAGTAAGAATGGTGCAGGACAATTGTAGAAAGCAGCAGTAAAATTATTTATAGAGTGAATACCAAAATATTTCCTGTATGTAGTGTATTAAGCTAATCTTCCTCTAGGTGCTAGTTGATGTTGTTTTTATTCTCCTTCTGCATAATGTATCCTCAACACTCACTTTCTTATTCATGTTTACCTTTAATTTTGCTCAACTTTATTTATAATCAACTCCTGAATTTCTTCCAATGAGAGCATTCAGGTTCTCATTATAATGTTACTTTCTGTAGTTCTCGGGTGAAGTAGAAGTACAGTAAACACGTGTAATGCTACCATGGTTATTCAGTATTTTCATGAATTAAGTGGTAAGAAAGATGAAAACAGTAGTACAGTAATGGGAGGAGTGAGTCGGATATTGTGTGTGTGGGAAACTGCTTTAGTGGGTAGTTTAGAAGAGAAGTTACAAATGTTGATGAAGAAGTTTAGAAGGATGTATAGTAGGGGAAAGATAGTGCTGTACTAAATGTGAACCAAAGTAAACTCATGAAAATAATTTAAAAAAATGAGACTGGGAAAATTGAATGTTAATTTGAGTGGAGATGGAGTGAATAAAGTGAGATACTTTGGATATCTGGGAAGATGAAGTGCCAGCAGAGGAAATAATGAGTGATGAAATGAACTACAGTTTAGAGTAGTTGAGGGAAAGGAAGCAGCAAACTAATAGGTGCCTTTAGAAATTTAGGGAAACTACCTTGCCATATGAGAAAATGGATATATTACAGGGAATCATTTAACTAACAGAAATTGGTTCTGAGTTTACTTTGGTCGTTTAGACACATTGAGAGAACAGGAAATAAATGATTGGAGGGGGAAACCAAGTTGCTGGGAGGATACAGTGAAGTACTTGATTGAAGTGAGGGGGATGAACATTCAAGAGGGAATAATATGTGTTGGCGGTACCTTGTAAATGCAGGCGGCTGCATTTACAAGGTACCTTGCAAGGAATGTAATATGTTTTACTTAGGCCAGACAGGTAAATATCTTGTAACTAGACTTAAACAACATAAATATAGTGTCAGGACAGGCCAGGAATCCAATGGTCTGTTTGTTCATTTGAGGGATAATAAGCATTGCATTGACTGGGATAATGCCTCCTCAATATTACTTTGTAATTCAATTGACAGTAGGAACATTATAGAATCCAGTCTCATTAAACATACAAAATCCATCAACATGAATTTGAGTAATGGTATGTACAAACTGGATAATTTCGTAATTAAGAAGATTTGTAACCAGGTGAGAAGGTTGGGTCATTTTACCCTCTGACCTGACTACTGACTGCTGCTGCGGTGCTTATGAAGATTAGTAGGGTCACTACCAAGTGACCAGACCAAGAGAGCTAAAATATTATGGGTGAAATGGCGCCATGGGGTGACTTCTCTTCCACCCCAATGCCTTCTCTTTTTCCTTCTCCTCTACCCCCATTCTAAATCCCATCATCATCATCATCCAGGAGCCTTCTACATACACACCTCAAAGTAAGTGAACTTTTCTACCATTTTTGTTGAATTTAGGAAATTTTCGGTGAGCTGGAACCAATTAACCCAAAAACCCATTGAAACAATGGTTTCGGTTAACGAACTTTTCGGTTAACGAACGACCTTCTGGAACGGATTGAGTTCATTAACGGAGGGGTCACTATATATATATATATATATATATATATATATATATATATATATATATATATATATATATATATATATATATATATATATATATATATATATATATATATATATATATATATATATATATATATATATATATATATATATATATATATATATATATATATATACGAGGTCTGTCCAAAATGAAACCAAACTTTTTAAAAAACAAATTTATTGCTTTACTTACAACTTAATCAGACTTGTCTCCGTCAAAGTACTCCCCTCAACTGTTGATTCACTGCTCCCAACGTTTTTTCCAGTTCTGGAACGCGTTTTGAGGGATGGTGCGCAGGTCTCAAAGCGAATTTTCTTTTATCTCTTCTATTGTCTGAAATTGGCGACCTTTCAGGGCGGATTTCAACTTTGGGAAGAAAAAAAGTCCGCAGGGGCCAAATCCAGAGAGTGGGGTGGCTGGGGAACAATAGTCGTCATGTGCTTCACCAAAAAGTCACGGATAAGGAGTGATGCGTGAGCAGGTGCATTGTCATGGTGCAGCATCCAGGTCTTGTTTGTCCCCACCTCAGGCCTCTTCCTTCGCACTGACTCCCTCAAACGCTTCAGGACCTCAAAGTAAAACTCTTTATTGACTGTCTGACCACGTGGAACAAACTCATGACGAACGACGTCCTGCCAATCAAAAAAGACGATCAACATCACCTCCACATTTGCATGACTCTGACGTCCAGATTTGGGATTGTCTTCGGTGGATGTTCTTCCCCTTTTGAAACGCTGGTGACATTGCGTACGGCTCAAACAATCCTCCCCATAAGCCTGTTGCAACATTTGAAAAGTCTCCTTAAAAGTTTTTCCCGATTTGAAACAATTTCACGCAAACACTTTGCTCTTCAAGATCCTTCATTGTTCAACTTGCAACAAATCGCCAAGTACATTAAACACACGTTCACTCTAGTACGTGTAGCTTGATGACTAATTGATGTGTCATGATGCGGCTAGTGTTAGACTAAAGGTCAGACCTCGTGTATATATATATATATATATATTTATATATATATATATATATATATATATATATATATATATATATATATATATATATATATATATATATATATATATATATATATATATATATATATATATATATATATATATATATATACAGTATATATATACAGTATATATATATACACTGTGTACAATAATAATAATGAATAATACAAAGTACAGTAATATTGTATATCAAATTTTCTTCTTTGTTTTTCAGGAAGGATACCTCGACTATCTCGTACCACGAAGTTTAGCCTGTGAATTTTCTTCTTAGGATTAAGAAGAGAAATACTGTACTATTTTATATAGGAAATAGATAACAGGTATTTAAATATACATGCAGTATTATGTATGCATTTTAACTTTATACCAAGACCTAGCAACTCTGTATAACCAGCACAACTCAGGGGTTGAATCTCAGGCTCCAGGAACCTAACTTGTGACTGGAATCCAGGGCCGGTATACACAAAACTTTTAAGTGCTAGCAAACAGTTGTTAAGGCTGACATTTTCCTGTTAATCACTAATAGTACATACACAAAACTTTTAAGGGCCTTAATAGAACTGTTAGGTTAAAAGACATCTGGAGCACTTTTAAGTCCCGTAATAGTCGTCTGTTAGTTGATACCATGGTGAACCAACAACAAAATCAGCGGCGGCAACGCATTTATCGGGAAAGGAGAAATATATTTAATGAATATAGTGTGAATATATTGTGTGTAAACCCTTTATAGCAGAGATTTTCTTTCTTGACTTAGACAATACTGAGAATCGGAGTGTCTCACACTCTGCCACCGATCACACCACACCAGGAAATGCAGCATTGGCTCTCATGGTGATTTCCAGCCATGCCCTCTTTGGTTATTTTTTGTGAACCATCCATCACCTTTTTTCACATGAAAAATTATTTTTTTTTTTTATGGTTTTCTTGCTGTTTTAGATGATCCTGACATTTATCTTTGGGGCAAATCACTTTTTTTTTAGTTAGGTTAGGTTAGGAAGTTGGGACATGGCATGTTAGGTCAGGTAACCAAACCTAACTTTTTATTAGTTAGGTTACGATGTAACCTGTTAGATCAGGTAACATTACCTAACTTTTTTTTTAGTTAGGTTAGGTTACCTGACCTAACAGGCCATGTCCTAACCTAAGCTAGCCTAACTTAACTAAAAGAAGTGATTTGCCCCAAGACAAATGTCAGAGTCATCTAAAACGGCAAGAAAACTAGCGAAAAAAACATATTTTTCAAGTAAAAAAAGGTTTGGGTGGTTAACGAAATGAGAGCGACGCTGCGTGTCACCATAACATCAAATTGGGACTTAGAAAAATTTGTGTTCTTGCAACTAATAAATTGCGTTTATTTTTGGTATGCTCCGCTTAATTCAAGTATATTCTTTCATTCCTCGGTGATATCTACTTAATGGTAAGAACAAAATCGTAAGAAGGTGATGGGTTGATAACGAAAAATAACCTCCTCTTTTTGTCTTTATTATTCAGGAAAGTCTTCAAGCAGCCATTCAATATTAACTTTTTCTCTTCAGTGGCATCCACCAATAATAAAGTCTGGTCTGCTATCCAGCTGAACTTCCTTTTCCTTCATGGGGTTGAGACTTCCATTTCCTCAATAACATGTTTGTTTACAAACAGCACAGCAAGGAAAAGCCACCGATCACTATCCTTGGTTAATAAATCCTCCTTCAAAAGACATTGATTAGATTTTTTTTTATGATCAAAATGTATATAAATGTAAATATTGCAATTAATCTTCATAATTTTATTGAGATTATTCAGCCATAAGACCATTTTATATAATGAACTCCTGCTATCTTTAGTGTTGTTTAGCGGTAATTAACAAACAACTACCGTAAGTTGCGGGGTATAAGTCGACTTCAAGATTTTTAGTTCAAAATTCAGGTTTAGGCTTACACTTGCCATATAAGTCGACCCCCCCAAGGCCCAAACATAGGCTAGGCTAGAACTGAAATGTGGATATAGCCTATGGCAAAAGTGTGTAATAGGGCATACCAGTATAGCACCTGCATAGCACCGCTATATACAGTATGATATTAGAACATTGTGGTACACCTGGCCTACTATCCACCATTTGCATCAGCTGGTGTAAACGAACTGCCAGTGGAGCCACCAACACCATGCGGCCAGCTACGAAACTATGGGTCCATTACACTGTTGGTAATTTACTAAACCATCGTGGCTTTATGCTCTTCCTGGCATCCACTCATTACCCACACACCGCCTGGGTTTAGTGGCGTTCTGATCGATTGTTTACTGTGCATCAGCTGTTGGAAATGGCGTGTGGTGTTGTGTTCGTTTAATTATACTGGAATTTACTATTTTGTTATAATCTCTTATGTTAAATAAGTTTACCAAACATGAATTTTAGGAGGAAATATTAGCGGCAGGCCATGGGAGTTACGCTATGTGATGCACAGTGAGTGTTAGGCAGGCTGTTCCACTTGTTTACCACTCTGTGGTAAAGCTTCACATTTTATACTCGGCGTATAAGTAGACCTCTGGTTTTGGAGAGATTTTTTCAAGTTTAAAATGTTGACTTACACTCCGCAACTTACGGTATTTGTGCGGTAAAAGTTTGCTAGTTAAGCTTTGTATATAACTTTTAAATTTTACTGCTAGCTAACAGTACCATTATGTCATTAGCATAAAAGTTTTGTGTATACAGGCCCAGAAATTTAATAGTTTCACATATTAGACCATCCTTCACTTATAACATAAAGATGATAACAGGAGATACCATTTATGTTCAAGTACAGTTTGAGTTTTTGTGGTCAGATTTTTATGAAAAAAGTAGGGTGTCGAACTATATACACACTATTTTGGGTGGGTAAAATTCATGCATTTCCGTGGATTATTTATGGTGAATGATAGCTACCAGTAAGTTCCTTTATCCTGGGCTTGCCTACCATACCCCTAGATTCTTTCTTTATGTTGCTATATAAAGAGCAAAACCTCATTCACTATATATGCCACTTTAAATCTGCAAATACATGATAGAAATGAAGATTTACAGATAATTCTCTTCATTTGCATGTGTTAACATCGCTTGTGGCATTGTGGCCAAGTTAGACGTGTCGCTGCAACCACATCCCTCTAGCCCTCTTGCTACCAGGTGGAGCTGTGAGGTGTTATGGTTATTTTCAACTTGTAATTTTGGGTCAATATACATGACTTCTTTTTTTTTTTTTTTACTCATTTACATGTACAATCAATCCTATATTCATATTGTGCAAAAAAAGTAAAAGAAATAATTGTACAGTATAAAGGTCAAATACGTAAAGGGAATAAACATTTCTTTGCGCATGAGGGTTAAGCATGCTGAGCAGGAGTGGGAGAAGGGAGCGGTGTGTGGGGGGACCCATTGCTAAGGAGTCGGCAGAGGCCCAGCTGGGCTACGTTGCTATGGCGAGCGTTGAGGCCAACAGCCAGTGTTATGCAAATGGCGGTTGTGTTAAACTTTCACTTGGTTTTTCCTTAACCTTATGCCCCAGGCTAGGGTGGCGTTGGCCATACCCCCCACGCAGGGGTAAAACAAGAAAAAATCGACTTTTCCAAAAATAATATTTAACCTTTATAAATGATAAAGCAATCAAAAAGATGTAAGAAAAACTATATATTGTCCCTCTAGAAACTTCAGTGGCACCTCAGTAATGAGGGAAATAAGGGGAAAGATTTTTTGATGGCGAGCGCTCGCGGTCACAATTCACATAGGGGTCATTTTTCTGCTTGCCTTTGTGTCCGAGATGGCCATTAATGCATATATTTACTGGTTATAATGTACTTATTTCCTATAAATAATTCATTTTATTTGCATTACTTTTCATAAAAAGTGCTCGGCGACACACACAATCTGTCGCCAGGCTGTCTTTGTGTTTGGGAGAGCAATTACGTCATAAATAATGATCGGAATAATAATTCCACAAATAAATACATTTATCACATAATTATAGCATTATCATCTAGTAATACTACACTACTTTTAGTAATATTACTTTGATACAACATGAAAAATGGACAAACAATGAAAAATAAACAAACACAAGAAGGTACTTACCAAGAAGCTTCCCTCTGACTGTACGTAGGAGAGGTGGTGGTGTTGGTGCTACCCTGACGCCTCGTATCGCTTGTGGGTAGTGGCAAGTGACTGCATACAACTGTGTACCTTTTACACAAATATCACTTTGTACCTTACAAATACACTTCCACTACTATTTACAATCATTCCTCACGTGCCACATTGTTTTAGAACGTTTTCTTCGTGTGGTACTCCATAAAGCAAGGTGCACAGAGACCAACGCCGCGCTCCTTGCACTACGTCGTCACGTCCTTACACTTATCCGGGCGCTTTGTGGTGTTCCTGCAGACGTAGCACCGCCTTTGCATCTTACAACCACTTGGAAGAGTCGGAAGGTCGTCAAGGAAGTGACGAGCAGCCCAGACACGTGCAAGGAGTCTGTCAGGGAGTCTTGCTTGGCTTCAACGTCGTCGTACAGCTGGCACAATGTTGCCATATTTCTCCAGGACTTGACTCATCACTTGCTTCTGAAAAACCCTGAGAGAGGGCTTTTCCCGGATACAATGTGTACGCATTCAGGATGATGTTCAAGAGGTGTAGGGACATCATCTTATACCACTTGACACATTTCTGTACACACTCAATTGCGCCAACCTGCATGTCACTCTTGTCCACGAGGCGCATGTTCACATTGTAGTCCACGACAGCGTCAAGTTTTTTCATTACCTCTTCCGTTGTCCAGTCCCTTTTGCCACTGTCCACCATTTTGCCCTTGTGAAGGGTTGACAGCATCTGCACAGTACGCTTATCATGCCAACGCATTGCAAGCAACTTGTCTGCTTGTTTCAGCTGGATGTCTCCTCGTGCAGGTTTACCAGGAAACACGGACCAGTGTTTCCTGTTCTTACGTACTGTCCCACAAGAACTGATGTCATGTTCAAGTAGGAACTTGGCCAGGGCAGGAGAGGTATAAAAATTGTCCTTGTAGAGGACGTGATTCCCTCCAAAGTAGCGGTCCATAAGTTTCTTGACAACAGCGCGAGAGAAACCATGTGGGTCATCCTTGGGTATGTCTATGTCACTTGCTGTGTAAACTACGAGATCTAAGACATACCCAGTCTCGCAACCACACAGCACAAAGAACTTTATCCCAAAGCGATTTCGTTTGGAGGGAATGTATTGTCTTAAAAACAAGACGTCCTCTGAAAAGCACCAGAGACTCGTCCACCACTACATTCTGGGAGGGTTTGAAGAACTTCATGAATCGTTCCTTCAGCATCGTAAAAACTGTCCTTATTTTCCAGAGTTGGTCACTAGCCACAGGGTTGTTGTTGTCCACGAAATGTAGATAACACAGGATGGAGGCAAACCGGTCTCTTGACATGAATTTCAAAAACAATGGAGTTGCTGTCATGTCATCGTGAGATATCCAATACTCCTGAAGTACGTGTTTCTTCACATGTGCCATTAGCATTAGTAATACAAAAATCAGTCCAGCGGTGCAATTTTGGCAAGGAGCCAGGTCCTGGGTCGGCATCACACGTATACTGATAAAATTTATTTGTTTCAGTATACAGTTAGTCCATGCATGCACCATCAAAGAAGGCACAAAGTAGTCCATCTCACTTGATTCCTTTGTACAAGGAAATTCAGGAGTAATTCCACCTAATGAGCATCAGAAATCAGGGATGTCAGGCTGGAAATTACTGCCATCAGACCAAACAAAAGCATTCATTGTCCCTTGTCTGGGCTGTGACCGCGTGGTGGGCCTATGCCACACTGGCTGTGCCTTGCTGCCACCCTCATCACTTGTCCCTAAAACATTGTGTAACTCGACACTATCCTCAGGATCACAAGGCATATAATCACTGCCTTCATCACCACTTTCACCAGAATCGCACAATACAGCACTCGCATCAAATAGCTCTGTCCGTATCTCACTATCATCCAACCCGCGGCATCGACGCTCGATCGGGTGGACGCTGCTAGCGACCGAACACGGGAGGTTGAGGGGCGACTCTCCATGACAGACAAATAGTCATGCTGGAACCTGTTAACCCGCGATGGGCATTCAAACAGTGGCGGGGTGATCATCATAAACAAAACCAGATTGATTTGTTCATGTTCATGCATGCCAACAAAAACTCTAGTCTTCTTCCATTTTAGGGTACATTACCTTCATGTTAGTGTCTCTTATGGAAATCCAGTAATGAAGGTGAAGGATTAATTGTATTTTCAGATTTATTCAATTTCTTGGGCCTGGTGATTCAATTCCTGTGACTTGCTAGCTCTACAGAGTTGCTCATTCCCAGATCATATATATAAAATGGGATTTCAGAATCAATCCATAATTTTTCCATTTTTCTTTTCATTTACTCTCCTGAGTTTCTTACTGACAATATTTATTACAGTTTGTGTCTGTTGAAATATATAGACAGCATCACCATTTTAGACATTCCTGTGTTTTATAAGGTTTTGTTGTTGCTGATTATTATAAATGCATCTTGGGTGTCAGCCTGTATGAAAATCTTTAACAAGTAATGTTTTACAAACTGCAAAAATATGATGACAATTTTGAATCCTTGGTTTTTCCCATAAATTGACAGATACAAAAAAAAACAAGTTCTGTTATAATATATAAGCTAAGGCAATCCAAATAAACGGTCGTAAATTATGCAAAATTTGTATTAAGGGTCCAAGATCAAATACTGTACAAAAGAAATGAACATTATCAAAGGCCATTATGAGAATGTATTGTGTGAAACTGACATCATTCTTCTGTCAGGAAAATGTAGTTGAGTTTGAATGTTTTCTACATTATCTAATTTTATGCATATTTAATATTACCACAGGGTGAAATTTTTAGTTTGCCCATCAAATCACAATTAAGAATTATATTTGTTTAACTAAGACCATGGACACTAACTATATTATGTTAAATACAGTGATATCCCCATTAGCCGCAACAATTGGTGCAGAGCACTTCCGGGGAAGAGAGATTTCCGGGTAACCAGACAACTTTCTCAAACCCGGAAATATTTCCAGTTTTACTGGAAAAACTTTCCGAGTGTCTAAACTATGCATCTTGCACAGACAAACACTAGCCCACATCCTCATAATGTTTCTGTGTGCTGGGGAGCTTTCCAAAAGTCTAAGCTAAAGATCTATATGATATGGTCGTGAATGAAACTATGTGTTAGAGCAAAGACTATTTTTTTCGCCCCCTTGGAGCTGTGGGGGATTAGTGGATCTCGTGTAACTGACCTGACCTGACACTATGTCAGGTGGAGGTAGGGTGGGGTATTGGTGGTCTCATATTACTGACCTGATACAATGTCAGGTCACCCACTGTTGGGTGGGGGATTAGTAGGTCTCAGGACCTGAAGATGTATTGAATAAACATGAAAGCTAAATTACAGTATTTTTTATGCTTACACTTATCACATTGTATCCCTTCAACATTACATTACATAACATTTTAAAATGTGGAGTGAGAAAGCTGAAAGCTGTGGGTGAATAGAGAGATGGAGTGGAAAGGAGTGATAACATGCACCAGTGTTGCCAAGCGCTAAGCTCCTCAACAGCTGATCTTTTAACTCCATCACTTAGTTAGCCACACAGAAATTTATGTCATACAATATGGGAGTGTTTGGGTGTGATGTTGTGGTATTAATTAATAAATAAGCAATATTGAATCGTCAATGAGTCGTTCGAAGAATAACAGCGTACTACAATTGTCACTAATATTCATCAAACTACTATACTGTCATTAACAATACAATATTGTTTATTATTCATTAATTAATACCCCAACATAACATCATACATAAAATCTTTTGTGTGAGACACTGCGAGTTGGTGTATGTTTTATCATGGTTAATATAAAATATTAAACACATTAGAAACAATACGACGTATAATTATTAATTTGACATCCAAATTACACAACAAATCGAATAATAAGGCAATTTTTTTTCACCCAAGCCTCTCTACTGGGAGGAGAGTAGGTGGCAGGTAAGCTTAGCCATTGCCAAATTTACCAGTTTTTTATTTAATCATTACAGTACTGATACATTATAAAATGTATTATAGTACTCTATTATATATGAAGGGTACAGGTATTAATAAGCACATAATATTACAGTAAACATATCTTTATTAGTAAATAAAAAACAAAATAAATATTTTTGCAATGGTAATGGCAGGCATGGGGAGATGACGAGGAACTTTTTTCGGGGGTGTGTGGTCAGGCCCCCCACCCCCCGCCCTCCCTCCCTTACTGAAATTTAAATGAAAGAAAACATTATATAATTTGTATAATGAACATCCTTATAAATTATCAACTCATGAATTTAGGAATAGAATATGAATTATACTGTACAGTATTAAGAAACTGTACAAAACTAGATTTGGTGCGTACAGTACTGTACTTACTTGAGGGTGTCTTGGTACCGTAATGTATGGTACACAAGCAATGGCCACTGCTATATGAGGTAGTATACTGTATGTACTGTGTTCATGTAATGTTAATTTCCAGTAAAATTATACACTGAAATCACTGTTGACATCTTAACACAGCTTAAACGCTGTGTTGTAGGTTGATTGTGTCCTATGTACTGTACAGCAATTGTACAGTACTGCACAACAAACTGTACAAAAAACAGGAGCGAGCAACAAATGAACCTTGTACTGTAAGGTGACTGGTGACAAAGAATTATGAGGCTAGCCTGGGGTGAGAGGGGGGTCATCTACATGATGCATCAGCCAATTACAGATGTCCCATGAGTTCACATGACAGCATTAGCCAATCATTGCACGCGAGCCTATAACCTCAGTTACCTCGAGTGTCTCGGTCTCCTGCCACCCACACACAGAGGACCCGGGAGCATGACGCAATATTTCATAATTTTTCTAGACATGTTATAGTACTGTACGTACAGTATTGAATATTTTATATTATCAATTATAAAACATACAACATAAGTGGCTGTACGAGAATATATACAGTAACACTAGATGTTGGAGGAGTGTGTATCCCTGTATCGGTATTAATAGCTAGGGCCCTTTTCTCAAAATTTATAATACGCTACATTAATGAAAATGAATGGAGATTAGAAGTAATAGATTTATAAATTGCAAGAAGTTGGATGGTCCATCATTATTTTTACAGTATTTGTATTTTTTCATAAATACTGTATACGTACATACAGTATATTAAAAAACATTTCCTGAAATCTCTTGATTTTATACCATATTACTCATTAATGAGTCGCCCATCATGCCACAAGTTGACTTGTGTTTCATGAACTATACACGTAGGTATGTGTAGTGATCTCCTGGTGTGGGGGGTGCAGTCGGTATCCCCTACCATATGGACAGGACTGATTCCTGTCAGCTTACAGTTGCCATTTAGGGATTTTTCCAAAGCAATTATACAATAATATTTGGGATGAAATGAGCGGGTATTAGAGCTTATTGTATTGATTTTGTGTACATTAAAGCTTCGACTAAAGATGGTTGTAGATGTTCAGTAGTAAAATTAATGTAAATATACTGTATGTATCTTTTAATTAATGTTATGTAATATATGTACAATAGAAGTGATCAATGAATTGGTAGAGAAAAAAGTGAGACTGCACGGGAGGCCAACGTATGCACTTGTGGAAATAGTGTCATTTATCTTATGTACACACACACACACACACTCTCCACACACACACACACACAGTGAATTAGTCATTTGGGAGTGTCGCTGTCACCTTTACCCTAGTAGACCCTTCTCTGGCTTGGGGGAGGGTGGAGATTAACGCATACAGTACGTAAGGATAAAGGCAGAGGGGTTTTATTGTTTTTCTCGTAAAATGTAACTGAATTTACTTTGGAGTATATAACTTATACTGCTGAAATTCTTGTAAGATAGCGATTAATTTGAGTATAAACATCCATTATTTTTCACCATACATAATAATTTTAGTAATTAAATTAGTACAGTACATTTGAGTACAGGTTGTGATAATTTATGTGGTTGCAATTTCAAAGCTTTGTGACATCACTAATGTATAATGAGTCTCCATATGCCCTGGTTTATTCATTGATCAGTTGTCTAAATGCAAAAGTAACCCTGTCGAGCCATCCTGTATCAATTAATTTTAAAATAGAAATTATAATGTAAAATGTTATAAGACAATGGCTTAGTAGTGCTGTGTAAGTGTCTTGGCATGTCACCTCACCACCAGACTCCTGAACAAACTCTTCATCAACTTCTTCAAATCCTACAATGTGCTTGGCAAGCTAAAACACACACACACACACACATGGGAATTAAGACAACAAGCATCCAGTGAGGGTCTTGTTGTGTGACTGCATGGAGGCGAATTAAAAGATCAGTGTTGAGGAGCTTATCGCTTGGCAACACTGGTGCATGTTAGCACTCCTTTCCACTCTATCTCTCTAATCACCCACACCTTTTTGCTTTCTCATTCCAGATTTTAAGATGTTATGTAATGTAATGTTGAAGGGATATAACTTTGCTCATTTTTACTTATACTGTACTTATCACAATTTCTCTAAAATACTTTAGGTTTCGTGTTTATTCAAGACATTTTCAGGTCATCAGACCCACTAATCCCCTACCTAAGAAAGAGTGACCTGACATTCCATCAGAAAGTCAGTACAGCTACTCCCCGACTTATGACCTACTTGACTTACGTCCACCTGCACTTACGACCGCCTCAGTCGTACCAAAATTTGGTCAAATTACGTATTTTTGAGTCCCGAAGTCAGTACACAGACAAAATTTTCATCTGTAATTCACTTTAAAATGGCTGGCAAGCTTAAAAGTGAGTGTTTTATGGTTCTGAGAAGAAAAAGAGACCCCATTTTCGATTTTCTATGTGTTATTTAAGCATTTCCGACTTATGACCTGGATGTCGGTCCCTAACCCCGTCGTAAGTCGGGGAGTACCTGTAATATGAGACCACTAATCCCCTACCCTACCTCCACCTGACATTGAGTCAGGTCTGGTCCCTCCCCAAAATACTTGAGCTTTCGTCTTTATTCAAGACATTTTCAGAAAATGCTCTCGATTTTCGACCTCGGAATTTTTTTTCCCAAAGCCAGAATTTTTTTTTTAATTCCGGCTTTGGGAATGCTTTTCCGAGCAATTTTCAATTCCAGCTCTTGGAGGGTTCTGGATTTGAGGGATTCCGGCTAACAGAGATATTACTCTATTCGTATAATTATTCTTACACATAACGTCTGTAATCATATTTTGATTGGTTATATTTTGCATAACAAATTTATCAATTTATAATGCACTGTTTATGGAGAAAATTTGTAAGTACAGTACTGTACTCTACATTCTTATTACTTTGTGTTTATGTATTTACTGCAATTTTATAATTTATTAAATTTAATGAAACTATTGTCATAAAAAATACTCTCACAAGAATATATTATAATGATGCAGAGTACAGTATAAGATATTACTCACATAGTCTGAGTTAAAACCTTCAGTTAGTGTACTGTGTGTTGCTTCATTTTTTAAACTATAGAAACATTACCTGTATCCACCTGATGGGGACAGTGAGGCGAGATAGAAGCTGGAGATACAGTCATAGTCATACTACAGCTGATTTTTATGATACTCTACTATATATGCAAAGAAGTCTTTCCAAAATATGTGATATATGTCAAGATCTCTGCTAGATGTAAGGTTCTACTTTTTATACAAGCCTCACTTTCTTCTATGAGAATACAGTCAGTATAATCTAAGTCCATTTATTTAACACTTGGATACCCTGCATTTAATTACAGGTCAAACCTCTCTAGTCCAGCAATTTATGGTACGTGGCTCTGAATTTCTATGGTCTGGCACCAGTCAGGTCCTGAGGGTGCCAGATTAGAGGGGTTTGACCCGTATTTATACGGTACTTGTATTGGGAAATAACAAATATGAAATGATGAATTATGAAAAACTGTGGCTGGAAGGGATTTGCCTCTTTATGGAACATACTGCTGATACTATGTAACTAATAACAGTGATGAAGAACCACAGGATTTGAAAAGCATCACAAGGACATAGAATAGCCTTCTGATTTATATTAATTATTCAGAAACTAATTGGTTACAATTGTGCCTTTATATTTCTAATCATGTCCTGATCTAGGGTGATTCTCTGGTCACCTAATCTATGGAATGAAAACTAGGTTCACATGGAGTTAAACTTGTGAACAGAATAAAGGAAAAATAAAATATGTCCACATTTGAAAATGCAGTTATTGCAGTCATGGGACTGTTTATCCAGTGTAATGGTATCCC